TATATCATGTTTATTTTATTACAGCATGACAATTTAAAATATTCATTCATTTATTTTCATTCATTCATTTTCTGCTGCTTTTCTGGGGCCGGGTCGCAGGGACAGCAGTCTTAGGAGAGAAGCATAGATATCCCTCTTCCCAGACACTTCCTCCAGCTCCTCCAGGGGGGATCCCGAGGCGTTCCCAGGGCAGCCGAGAGACATAGTCCCTCCAGCATGTCCTGGGTCTTCCTCAAGGCCTCCTCCCTGTGAGACATGGCTGGAACACCTCCCTAGGTAGGCGTCCAGGAGGCATCCGAAACAGATGCCTGAGCCACCTCAGCTGACTTCTCTCGATGTGGAAGAGCAGCAGCTCTACTCCGAGCTCCTCCCGGGTAACAGAGCTCCTCACCCTATCCATAAGAGTGCGCCCTGCCACCATTTGAAGGAAACTCATTTCGGCCACTTGTATCTGAGATCTTGTCCTTTTGGTCATGACCCAAAGCTCATGACCACAGGTGAGAGTAGGAACGTAGATTGACCAGTGCTTTGCCTTTCGGCTCAGCTCCTTCTTTACCACAACGGACCTGTACATCGGCCGCATTACTGCTGCACCAATCCGCCTGTCAATCTCACGTTCCATCCTTCCCTCACTTGTGAACAAAACCCCAAGATACTTAAACTCCTCCATCTGGGGTAAGGACTTTCCACCAACAAGGAGATGGCAAACCATCTTTTTCCAGTGGAGCACCATGGCTTCGGATTTGATGTGCTGATTCTCATCACAGCCGCGTTACACTCGGCAGCAAACCACCCCAGTGCATGCTGATGGTCCGTGTTCGATGAAGCCAACAGAACAACATCGAATAACAGAGATGAAATCCTGCGATCCCCGAACCGGACCCCCTTCAGCCTAAGGTTGTGTCTTGAAATTCTGTCCATAAAAATTATGAACAGAATTGATGAAAGGGGTAGCCCTCCCGGAGTCCAACATGCATTGGGAACAAGTCTGACTTATTGCCAGCAATGCGAACCAGACTCCAACTCTGTTCATACAGGGACGAGACAGCCCTTAACAGAGCACCTTTGACCCCATACTCTCCGAGCACCCTCCACATTTAAAATATTAAAACATTAAATTAATGTAAATTAACACTAACTTGACTGAACTTGAATATAAACACCACTACTTAACAAAGATTATTCAAACAGCGTTTGGAGTCTGTCTCTTAGCCTCTCTCTGGTGGAGAGTTGCGCCATGTGGTCATCACCCACAGCTGATGTTTAAATACCCTATTTCAAAGCATTTATTCAACAAAAGATCATTTATTTAACAATTTGTGATAATATAAAATTCTTTTCATAAAGACTGTAATACTGTGTGATGCATAAATTAAAAGCAACTGCATATTGTCGTTGCTCTAAATGTCTCCCTTCCCAAGCGACACTCGCCCCTTTAGCTTGCCCACTGTCTATTTTCAAGTGCATTAGGTGGACGTAGCAAACTTACTAAATTTTCTTTGAAACATATGGTAGGAGGGTTTCTGTTGTGCTCAGGGTTGAAAGAGTGAGAAATAAAGACTACACAGATATGAAGTTTGTCTATGACCCAAAAGTATTTATTCAGAGATTGGCATTAAAAGATCATCTCTACAGAACATTGTTGTGTACTGAACATGGTTAGTCTACATTACTGATAATAACATCTAAAAAAGCTTTACTTTAATTTCACGAGACCTTTAGATAAAAGAACACACTCCTTTCATTGAAATACTCTATTGTGTTCTAGAATGCCGGTCTGGTTACTGTGACGACGACTCCTCTGAACTGCGGCCCTCAGCTCAGATCTCTCCTCCAGAGACCAGCCAATGAGAAGCTTCTGATGCTACTTCCTGTCGGTTTCCCTGCATCTGACGCCAAAGTGCCAGACCTCAAACGAAAAGATCTGAACGACATCATGGTGCTCGTCTAACTTCATTACTAAGAATATAAACACTTTAAACAAACACAATGTCGTAAACAGAACAAATTATACACATGTTTTCAATGCATGTTTATGTGATAGAAATGAGGGTTTGGAATAATATATTTTTAATATCGTACAATAATACAGTAGTAGTCATTTCATATTCTTTCTTTTAATGTATGCTTCACAATTTGGGATCTGTTGTGATTTGGCAAACATTAAATACATAATGTTTTAGCATTTTTTAATTATGCTTCATGGTGTCATCTACACTCATTCACATTCATTGATATACACTCACCGGTCACTTTATTAGGTTCACCAACTGTCCACCTGTTCGTTTGCGAATTTCTAACCAGCCAATCACATGGCAGCAAGTCAATGCCTTTAGGCATGTAGACATGGTCAAGACGATCTGCTGCAGTTCAAACACAGTATCACAATGGAGAAGAAAGGTGATTCAAGTGACTTTGAATGTGGCATGGTTTTTAGTGCCAGACGGGCTCGTCTGAGTATTTCAGAAACTGCTAGGGTTTACAGAGAATGGTCCGTAAAAAAGAAAATATCCAGTGAGAGGAAGTTCTGTGCGTGCAAATGCCTTGTTAATGCCAGAGGTCAGAGGAGAAGGGCCAGACTGGTTCCAGCTGATAGAAAGGCAACAATAACTCAAATAAGCACTCGTTACAACAGAGGTATGCAGAAGAGCATCTCTGAACGCACAACACTTCCAACCTTGAGGCGGATGGGCTACAGCAGCAGAAGACCCCACCGGGTGCCACTCCTGTTAGCTGAAAACAGAAAACTGAGAATACAATTTGCACAGGCTCACCAAAATTGGACAAAGGAAGATTGGAAAAACTCTTCCTGGTCTAACGAGTCTCGATTTCTGCTGCATGTCAACGCCTACCTGAGTATTGTTGCTGACCATGTCCATCCCTTTATGACCACAGTGTACTCATCTTCTGATGGCAACTTCCAGCAGGATAATGCGCCATGTCATAAAGCGTGAGTCTCAGACTGGTTTTTTGAACATGACAATGAGTTCTCTGTACTCAAATGGCCTCCACAGTCACCAGACGTCAATCTAATAGAGCACCTTTGGGATGTGGTGGAATGAGAGATTCGCATCATGGATGACCTGGTACTAGTAAGGTGTACCTAATAAAGTGGCCGGTGAGTGTATTTGAAAGGGATTTGTGCTTATTTCATAGCGGTTTTACCATTGTTATGGTTTTTACAGTAAGATCATTTTCTAAAAACGGTATTAACACTAAGATTTGCATTTATTAATAAGGGTTGTAAATTAGAGCTTTTTTTAATCCAGACTGAGCATTTTTATTTTTTCATGCATTTGCAATAATTATTTAGCTAATTATTTAGTTCACTATGTGGTAATAGTGTGTAAATTGTTAGATGCTGATTTTTTAGAATTGAAGTCGTTGATTTTATTGTAAAGTCTTAATGTAATGATTTAAATAGATTTCAAAATACTTTTTTCCTTTTTCTTTTACGAAAACAGAACTTTTGTTTATTTATTGAGTGATCATCTTCTGTAAATATTAGTGTCGGTTGTTTAGATCAGGGCTGGACAAACTTTTTTGTATAAAGGGCCGAAAACCAAACTTGATTGAGGGCTGTGGGCCAAAGTTTAATATACCAAATTGTATTAAATTATATTTACCATAGGTAATTTCCTAATTTATTTCCTAAGATTTAAAAATAAACACAAAACGTTGCTTTAAAACATTTTAATTAACAATGCAGTATCATTTTTAACTTTTTACACTAAACTTATTATAGTATTGAACCAGTCATCTGCACATCGATAACTGTCTGGTTTAGCTCAGCTACCCAATCCGACCTCCGAAGACTATGCCAAATAGTTCGGACTGCTGTGTGAATCATCGGTACAACCCTCCCTACTCTTCAAGAACTGTACATATCCAGAGCAAACAGAAGGACTGCCAAAATCACTCTGGACCCCGCACACCCAACACACTGCCTAATTGAACTTTTACCTTCTGGTTGACGCTACAGAGCACTGCGCACCAGAACAGCTTGACACAGAAACAGTATCTTCCCTCAGGCAATCCATCTCATGAACACTTGATGATAGTAATTGTGGAACAAACATCACTACTTGCTATACACTTTTTATACACATATATACTTATTAAACAACACACTTCACATACCAATTTGCACATATTAGCTCCACATATAATGTTGTATATGGTAATATAGCTGTACATACACTTGTCAAATTGTATATTTGCATTCACTACTTACTTCTTCATTCATTCATTCATTTTCTTTTTGGCTTAATCCCTTTGTTAACCTGGGGTCACCACAGCGGAATGAACCGCCAACTACTTACTTCTATTTTTTTTTTAAATATATTTATTATCTGTTATTATCTGTCCTGTCTCTGTAATTCTGTTGCACTGTAGAAGCTCTGTCACCAAAACAAATTCCTTGTAGAGTGTGTGAACAGACCTGGCATTAAAGCTCTTTCTGATTCTGATTCTAAAAACATAAACAATCCCATTTATAACACAAGCCAAAGGAAAATAAATAAATTGTTAGATGCTAAGCTTTAAAATGTTTTAATGTAATGACTTAAATAGTATGATTTCAAAATAATTTGACAATCGTTCTTGATTTCTTTTACAAAAACAGAACTTTTGTTTATTTATTCTATGGTTATCATTTGAAAATATTATTGTCGTTTGTTTAGCTGCTGAAATTCATTTATCTCATAAATATTACTGTAGAGAGAGACATGTAAGCGAATCATTAGATAATTATCCTGAGCAGTTTTTAAAAAAATCTATTTTAATTGTATTTATTGTTAAAATAGTTTTAAAAACGATTAAAAACCATTTATAATTCACATTTTATGATTTATATTTTTTATAATGACTGTAGGATATTTTTTGAACTGAGTTAGTTAGTTGTTCATGTTATCAACGTCGATATTTTTAATTTATATTAATTGATAATATAAATATTATACAATTGATATAAAGAATGCTTTTAATGTGTATCCTATAGCAGGACTTTTATTTTGAAAACACGCTTCTTCTAAGCTTCTGTTTGACGTTTGTCAGTACAGGAAGTTCTTCTAGTTAGTTGACAGCTTTCCTCAATCGATTATCGGAATAGATTTCAGTTTTGTCCTACTGAATATGTAACATATCCTAACATTTGTCTTACTGTATTATTAAGACCCATTCTCGTTGAGGACTGCGGTTGGAGTGTGTTTTCGCTGAATGTGTGTGTTTTTGGACGTGAAGCCGGTGAGAATGTCGTGTTTGCTTTATGATTTCATCTCAAACAGGACTTTTTATTATTTTAAATTCATATTTTATTTTTGTTATTATTTTTATACAATGACTGTTAGTATATACTTTTGCAAAATGCATGCAAAACATAGAGAATTGTCTGGAATCAACTTCGATTCTATGTAACAGTGTTTTAATTTGTGATATTTTAACGTGTTAATTTGATATGAATTAATACTTTTATTTTGACCCCAAACAGGGCTTTTGTATGCATGTAAAAAGATTTTACACTGAGGTACAAGTGGTTTTAATATTCGCACATTTGTTCATTTTTGAACAGTGACATGCTCTGTGTTGTTTACCTCGTTACTTTGAATATTCGGTCTGAAATCGCACGTCAGTGTGACTTGAAAACAACATTAGCATTATTTAATTGACTGAACAATGTTATTGTGATAGTCATTACCTTCTAACATGATTTCCCTATTTAGAATTCAACAAACAATGCTTTACTGAAATTGTATTCACAATCTCCTCACAGCCTCTGCACTATTTAACATTTGCACATTTAAAATTTGCACATATTCATTGCACTGATTCGCTTATTTGAACTGTACATACCCGCTGCACATGGACATTTGTAATTGTTTATCTATCTGCACACTTCTGATTATTAATAGCAACCTGTACATATATTAATTTATTGTAAATCTCTGTTCATAGCTAATACAACCTGTATATAATGTTGATAGTACATCTATCTGTAAAAATCACCATAGCTTTTCTATAACTGCACTTTTTAACTTATACCTGTATCCTGCACTTGCTGCTATTGCACTGCTGGTTAGACCTAAACTGCATTTCGTTGCATTGTACTAGTACATATGTAATGACAATAAAGTTGAATCTAATCTAATTATTAAGGAGAAAGTCCCAATGTGCGAATATAAAACCAACTTTACCCTAAATAGTTTTTACGTAGTCTTTCAGTTGGAGCTGTACAATATATCATTTCAGCATTGATATCGCAATGTGTCGATCTGCAATAGTCTCATTGCAGGACATGCAATGTCAAGTTAGGTTTATAATTGATCAGCATTACAGTTCAAAATGTGGTTTGTGTAACCCTAAAATAGTGTTAAAGATTTTCATTTGTATGTGTTTTAAAGACCTGTCACTGTGTACGATTTAAGCAAACTGAAACAAAGAGGTTATAAAAGGCATATAAACCAAAATTACTTGTATTTAATTATTTATACAATGAAGACTCTACACTATACAGTGTTATCTTTTATATTATTATGGTGTTTCTGTACCTCAATACTGTTAGATTTCACAAAACAATGATCAATGTAATGTATCTGTTCAATTGTACTTTTGTACAATTGTGTTTGTACTTTATGGAGATACTGCTCGACAAAATAATCTCAATTTAAAACTATGAATTAATTCTAAATACAGTTATACGAGATCTTGTGAAATTATATTCATATCGCACTACAAACCTGATATAGCCAGGGCTCAACAATAAGGACTGCCCTATGGCCCGGGGCCAGTGTGAAAGATGCTTGGGACAATAGACAGGATTATTACGGGCCCGATTGGGAAAGTGCTGCCTTGTCACTAAAGTTTAACTTGCCTGCGACTATTTGTCAATTGTGTGCATTTTAAGCTTCAACTTTTTAGTCTTAAAATGCTACCTTCTCTGATGTCGATTGCTTTTCGGATCCTCCTATCTGATTTAATGTTTTGAGCATGCTATTTTTTCTGTATCCTGGTAACAACCAGTACAGCGAAGAGATGGCAACATGGCAGCAATATCAAGTTAAAAGTCTAATGTAAAATGTCTGTTTATAACGTCTTGGAAGCAGACATTTACATGAAAACACAACGAAACAAAATGGTGATTATTATTTTTATTTTATTTCATTTTTTTCCACAATTTTCCAGTCAGCCACCTTTTGTTAAATAATTTCAAACTGCAATAAAATACCTCCACATTTCCCATTATGCAATTTTTGTTTGCATAGCTCTGAATTGTGCTCATACATTTATTAACATTTTTCAAATATTGAAATTCTAGATTCACAGAAGTTATTTTTGACATATTATTTAAAATATGTGGCTAAAAAATAAGTATTAACTTGTCTTTTTTTATTTTTTAATGGGGCCAGTGAAAATTTTGGCAGGGCAAGTAAAAATCTGAACCATTGGCCGATTGGACCAGTAGAAAAAATCCTTAGCGTTGAACCCTGACAGCAATAAACCAGATATCGCCATAGAGCAATTCCAGCGTTATGGATGTGACATTTGCTGTAAAAACTCAAAATATAAATTCACAGAGAAAGTTTATGTTAACATTATATTAAAACATCTCTTTATATTTTCCAGAACAACTCACCACAGAGTTAAAGGACGAGAAAAATATCAATCTGTAAACATGTTTATACTTTAAATGAGGAAAATAATCATGCATTATGGATGTGACAAAAAAAGTCTACGAGTTCACAGTATACAATATACTTTGTAGAAATTCTGTGAATTAAACTGCACAACCCAAAAGAAACAACAATAATGAAAAGGATGAGAGTTGGAGCACTATAGCCTAACATGATTTATTTTATTTTATTTAATATTTTCACATTTATGAGGAAAAAGCTTCATTATGGATGTGACATCTCTCTGTTATGGATGTGACGGATGTGAAATTGCCACTTGTGTGACTTTGGTAAATCAAATAGAATAGTTTGAAAACACTGACAGATGCATTTTTGATTATTTCTAAAGTACTGTAAAATACTTGCTTACGGAAACCATTTCTGGGTATTTTGGTGAAAATTATTTTTTTTTCATGACAAGGTTGACATTTGCACGGAATTGCTCAATATCAGTTTTTGTCATATATCATGCAGGCCTAATTTCAGGTATTATTATTAATTAACACTTTGATATGAACGAATTCATATATGAATGAGCAATATCACTTTGCTCACTGTAATAAGACTGTACATCCGCAATGGTGGGAGGCATGTGTTGGCTTGAGGCCACAGGTTGAGTGATTTAGTGTCCCGCCAGTGATGATATGCAGCCATATCGCACACTGCAATGAGTGTGATGTCGACGGCATAATCATGCATATAAAAAGAAAATCAAACACGGAGAGTCTCAAAAATCTTTTTGTATGCAGAACTACATGAAGTGATGCCAAATCAGATGATTCTGCTCACATTTTAAAGGGCCATGAAACCCCCCATCAGCAGGATGTTTTCACACCTTTAGTTTGGAAAAAGTCAGGAAAGTGGGTTTGTCTAGCTGGGTCTTTTTTAAAGGAGACGAGCAGCAAATCCGGATCTCACGATTAATGAGAAAATGAGTAAAAAATGTTCCAAACAAACGCATTTCTGCCGCATGTCGCATCTACGGATCCATGCGTGAGTCCAGCAGCGCTCACATAGAGAGAAAATGAAAACAAAACCTTCACATTATGAAAGCAACTCTGGCGACCCGTATCTCCAAACAATTCTTATTCTTTTCCCACAACTTTTGGCAACACGATGTGTGTTGTCTCTCTGCCGTCTGAACACTGTTATAATGGCCCATTCACATGGGGCGTCAGCGTCAACGCTTCCTATTCACTTTGAATGGGTGATGTCAAGTGTTGGCGAACTGAATTGTGGGTCCATTGGCGCCATTCAGTGGCATTGCTCGCTGCAGAAGTTGAGATTTTCTGAACTTTTCAAACGTCAACAGAAGCGTCAGCTGTAGTCAAACTGTAGTGAGTTTATTCCTCTGCTTGTCATGTGGGGGGAGTAATACATTTTATAAATCTGTCTAACTGTACTGTTATGCCCCAGACAGACTCGTTGAGGACTGCAGTTTGAGTGTGTTTTCACAGAGTGAGTGAGTGAGTGAGTGTGTGTGTGTGTGTGTTTGTGGAGGTGAAGCTCTGGTTCTGGACTTACTGAACCCGGTGAGAATGTCATGTTCGCTGGAGAAGGTTTTGGGCGATGCGCGGACGCTTCTGGAGCGGCTCAAAGAGCACGACACCGCGGCTGAGAGCCTCATCGAGCAGTCCAGCGTCCTCGGACAGAAGATCCACAGCATGAAGGAGGTCGGAAACACTCTCCCTGACAAGGCATGATAAGATATCTATTACTGACCGCATACACAGCTCATATACAGTTCAATTAACAGCCCTCCAGTGAATTTTAATTTCTTTTTCTAAATATTTTCCAAATGATGTTTAACATACTAACATTTTTAAGCAACGGTGGGAAATGGATAGTTTTTGACTTCAACTGTATATGACACTTAGGTGCATGTGCCGGATGATTTCTAGTTGTGTGCATGTGTTGCTGCATGTAGATTGCACAAAATGACCTGCTTGCTGTTGCACAGAATGAAGCTTTTAGTGAAGAAGTTATTTTTCCTTAATATCTTAGTGTTTTTGAAGGCGAGGCAAGTTTATTTATATAGCACATTTCATACACAGTGGCAATTCAAAGTGCTTTACATAAACAGGAATAAAAGAGACGAGTATGAATGAAATAAAAAACAAATAATATAAAAACAGATGAAAACAGCGTAAAGTTTTTCCATATTCCAAAATACTGGTGTATCATATTTTCTCATTTTACTCTGGGACTTATTTTACTCTGGGACTCACCATTCTGGTGATCCTCTCCCCTCTCCCCGTGGACCCTTTTTGGTACCTATTAATCGATTGGATGTCTCCAACAGATTTGATTTTTCACCTGGAATCGAAAAGTTAAGCTTTACAGCTCTAATTACGTAAAAGGTATTGATCTCAGCCAGATGCCAGGGACTTTAACCCCTACCTGCAAAAATTATCTGTGGCAAGGATCTAACTTGTTGTAATTACGCTGCTACTTTCTTTTAGTAGAAATATCTAAACATCAAGATCTGTTTACCTAAGAAGCAAAATTAGACATCTTGTTAATTTCAAAACTGAGTTTGTGCTTCTCAAAATACAAGAAAATATTTTCTTTTTCAAATAATATTTCAAAATTTTTTAGAAATGTGATTTAAATAATAATAATAATAATAATAATAAAAATAGCTGAACAAAATTTTTGAAATCCAATGCAATGTTATAAATTGCTCTGACATCTCATTCTATATGCGTTATGACTGATAAGATTATATTATAAACATGTACTGTTGACAAACATTAAAACAGTCTCGAATATCATAAAAAGTTAAATTAGTGGAAATAAAAACTTGATAAATTCTTGAGAGTTTAAATTTGGACTTGAATTGAGTTGAATAAGTCTAGAATAAATGCTTTGCATAGTTTTGATGTGAAACTGAAATTTCAGCTGATTAAAATGTTTGCAACTGTCGATAATTTTGATAAATTTGATTTATTCGTTGTGAATTAACCCGATCCTGATTTATTTTCTCGATTAGGAAAAAAATAAATAAATAAAAAATATATTTAGAGAGAGATAGATATAGATACACACACACACACACACACACACACACAGTTGAAGTCAGAATTATTAGACCCCCTAAATTATTATTAGTCCCCCTGTTTATTTTGTTCCCCAATTTTTATTTAATGGAGAGCAAATTTTTTCATTCATTCATTCATTCATTTTCTTGTCGGCTTGGTCCCTTTATTAATCTGGGGTCGCCACAGCGGAATGAATCACCAACTTATCCAGCAAGTTTTTACACAGCGGATACCCTTCCAGCTGCAACCCATCTCTGGGAAACATCCACACACACTCTCATACACTACGGACAATTTAGCCAACCCAATTCACCTGTACCACATGTCTTTGGACTGTGGGGGAAACCAGAGCACCCGGAGGAAACCCACGCGAAGGCAGGGAGAACATGCAAACTCCACACAGAACCGCCAACTGAGCCGAGGTTCGAACCAGCGACCTTCTTGCTGTGAGGCGAACGTGCTACCCACTGCGCCACTGCCTCGCCCTGCACCGATAATGTAGATTTTAATTAGTTTAACAACAAAACACAAGTAAATAGCGCATTTCCGCCTAGTCTCGTCCTATATTGTTTGCCATGCATCTTTAAATATTCGCTCTTAAATAGCATGTCAGTTTGGCTTGCACGCCAGCGAACAAGCACTAGTCGCATTTAACACAGACGGCAGAGGAGGGACTGTGATTCAGGGATTTATGCTAAGCTGTTATCATTGTGGAAGATCACCTACTGCACCTTTAATGTTTTTTTTTATTTTTAAATCGTTCCAATTTTTAATGTTGGAATGTTCTAAATGAATAGGGCATAGGGGGATAACTGGGAATAGAACACAGCCAGGAACTGTGCTTCTAACTACAGCTTTAAAGGTGCAGCTTCAAGTGTACAAGTTTGCAACGCAGGTTACGAATGTTCGTTGGAGTGATGGATTTGGGAAACGCCAAATCAAGGAACTATGTTTGTAATGACAGAACTTGAGAGCTTAGTTGGCTAACGATGGTTTTCAGAAACACACCCCAGAATTGTTGTCAGTGATTTGCATGACACCACCACCAAATGAAGATATGCATGTTTTGCAAGATTGCTCTGTCTGTAAAACATATCTTATTGGACTGTCCCACTTTTTATTTTTGTAGAAATATAACTTGTTTTATCATATTTGATATAGTTTTTCTGAATTGTTTTTATCCTGAAAATAGCCCGAGATGCCGACTTGCCGTTAGATGAAAACATATGCTACAACACATTAAATAAAAGAACAACGACCCAATATGAAGTTCCTGTGTTTTCCTGTGTTTAGTACATGGAGGAGAACACCGAGTATCAAGAGCTGTCCAGATACAAGCCTCACGTCCTGCTGAGCCAGGAGAACACCCAAATCAAAGAGCTCCAGCAGGAGAACAGAGGCAAGACTTCTTCACAGCGTCTCTGCTTTTGTAAGGTGAATGGCTGACTGAAGTGTGTTTATGCTGTTCACAGAGCTCTGGCTCTCTCTGGAGGAGCACCAGTACGCCTTGGAGCTGATCATGGGCCGATACCGCAAGCAGATGCTGCAGATGATGATGGAGAAGAAAGAGCTGGACACCAAACCTGTGCTCAGTCTTCACCAGAATCATGCCAAGGTGCCAGTCTGTTGGTGTTTTTAAATGTTTGGAGACTTCGCTCTTTTTAAAAGTTTTGTTGGCTTCTTATATAATGTCTGTAGGAAACTATGCATATAAGTTATGCACATATAGTTAGTTGTTTATATATTCTGAGAGTGACGGAAGATGAACTTAATTGCATGATTGTTAATGCTTCCTAAAATGGGTGGAGCTAAACTGTTTGGACACCTTTTGCTTGTTTGCAACTCTCTGATTGGTAGAATTTTATTTGGAGCATATTGTTACAAATTAAATTAAAAATCCTTAATCATAAAGAGGTTTAAGCAAAACATTGCAAGATAACAGGGATTAAAAATATACTCCCTGGTGCCCTCGCGCTCTCTCCCCACCAAAAAATAAACCAAAAACACAACCACTGAGAATTAACAAGAAAATATTATTTATTTACAGAAAATAAGAAGCAAAAATAACATCAGGTGGGGTTCAGCCAAAATAAATGACAATAAACCAAACTAACTAAATTAGAGAAAACTTCCCTGGAAATAAATAAGAAAATAAAATACAGAAAATTTAACTCCCTACTTACAACACAGGAGAAAACGAAAATAATAAATAGAAGCCATCAAACCTCCCTACCATGCTCCAAGCCAGACAGGGAGACAGAAAACCCGGGTTTCTCCAATTAGAATGTACAACTTCACATTGCTATCTCACAAAAATGCCATATAAGAGACATCAGCAACAAACACTCATATTTATCACTCAAGCAATAATATCTACACAGAGAATAACAAGCGGGGAATAGAGAGAGAGAGAGAGAGAGAGAGAGCGGGGAGCTGCTGAATCAATGCTCTCTGAGGTTTAAATAAGAAATACAGCCACCGCCAACCAGGATCTGACGTAATCCGCTTCACCTGCCAATACTTCGAAATGAGAGAGAGAGAGAGAGAGAGAGAGAAACACCACACACACACACACGCACACACACACACACACACACACACACACTACACCACCACAACAACTACTCGTAACACCTTCCCACCAAAAAGATGCAAACAAGCAGTTTGTATCTACCCACCTAACTCAAACCTCAACTTCAGCACCATAAACTCTGGACAGCGCATCTGCAACCACATTTTGCAAACCTTTCTTGTGCCGTATATCCAAATTAAATTCCTGGACATCCAAAGACCATCTCATTAATCGCTGGTTTGAATTGTGCATCCTAAAAAAAACAAGAGGATTATGATGGGTGCACACGAATACACACAAATTGGGAACGAACTTCCACCCAAGTAAACCCCAAAATGTTGCAATGCTAAAAGCAGTGCTAAAGCCTCCTTTTCGATCGTACTATATCTGCGTTGACATGCAACTTTTTTGAGAAATAGCACTTTCCTGAACCAGAACTGCTCCAGCCCCAGTAGCAGAAGCATCCACTTCCAATTTAAAGGGACGCTCCAAGTCCGGTGCTGAAAGAATAGGAGCGTTACACAGCAAATCTTTTGCTGCTCGAAAAGCCTGATCACATAAAGCAGACCACACAAAAACTCTTTCAGTGCTCAAAAGATCAGTTAGTGGGGACACTAACTGTTTTGCATCAACTGGACACACATGTCCCTGACCTACCTTTTTTCCTAAGTACACAACTGTGGCTTTGGCAAATTCACAATTGGCTAAATCTAGGTATAAACTGAAATAAAACAAAGAGATCGTTTCAAGAAAAACGTTCCATCAATTAACAACCAATAACAAGTCTGATTTTAAAGGTTTATTCCTCGAAAACAGTTGCTCTATGGAGAAATGAAAGAAGTTGGGAACTCACCGGTTGTGTTTTATGAACTGTTTTATTTCAAATTGTCTTTGTGTTCATACGTAAATCAAGCAAAATGAACCTAAAATAAGTCTGGTTTTTTTCCAGGAGGTTCAAAGCCAGTTGGGACGGATCTGTGAAATGGGTCAAGTAATGCGTCAAGCCGTACAGATGGATGACCAGCACTATTGCTCTGTGAAAGAGCGACTGGCACAGCTTGAGGTAACAGCTCTGTTTTGCTATTTTAAAGGTTTCTAATTTAGTTTTCTAGCTCTCCTACAGTGGGTTTACATCCATTCAGGCCAGGGTCAAACATTTTCTTATAGTATCCATTGCAATATCGACTCATTTTCATTGGTTCAAAGATCCTCGCCTTACTGAGAACTTTCTCTACTCAGATTGTCCAGATGGCTCAGTTGTCTGTAATTGGTTGACCAATCAGGATTGCATGATTTTCAAAGTAGTCGTATCACAGATGTTTTCACACTGCTGGGCTAGCGTTTCGTCGCTGCTTTGTTTACACTGCAAGATGGATCGGTGACAGGGGTTTTCACATTGCATGACTTTACTATAGGAAGAATCGCCGACAACTTCATTCAAACTACGTCTCACAGTAGTATATCTTTTGTTATTAACTACATAATGAGAAAGAAGCCTTTAATGGGGTAGAAAATGTACATATTTGCTCACCTGGGTTTGAAGGGAATTAGCCATTTCTCCTCAACGTTGATAATAAACTAATTTCTTTCTGTATGAAACGTCAAACAGACACGGTTGCTCCTGAGTCCTGTCAAACCTCAACTAGTTTTTCCTCCATTTCGTGGGTCCAAATAAACCGAAAAAGAGCGCTTTTAACTTCTCCCCCAGCCTCCCGCTGGCCTGCTGCAGGTACACACACGCACACACAAGTGAATGCCGCTCTCTCATTGGCTGTAGGCGATCGCTGATGTTATTTTCAGTAAAAACTCAATTCACACGGAATGATTTGATTCGCAGACAGCTCCAGATATTCAGCACGCCAAATATCTCACAGGCATCGGCGACTCATCGGCGATTCTTTCAGATTGCGTCTTTGATAGTTCATACTGTGTGATTGTCACTCACAGCACCGATTTGCCTGTGATTTCAGGCATTTGTCTGCGATTTCTCAAAACCTGTCGGCGAGCCAAAATCGGGGCTGAAATCACACAGTCTGAACTAGGCATTACACTAGAGTATGTTTGTAATAAAAGTCTTATGACGCATAAGTTTTGTTATGATTACAAGTAGCATCCACACTACTCCAGCAACTTTGACCAATGGAAATGCAGTGTTTTGAAGGAAGAAAATTAGGTAGGTGATCATGTTGGAAGTTACCTAGATGGGGACTATTTTCAGGTGCTGCATAATGTCATTGTGTCTGCTGGAGCCAAAGTATGGCAGCTCTTTGATTATTACAACAGAATGAGAGTATAGTCCTTGGTTATAAAAGGCTAAAAAAAAATGATTTTTTTTTTTCTGTTAATCTTAGTCCATGATAGAACTACAGAAAAAAATCAAGGTTTGAATTGCAAAATTATCAAAACTCTTCAGTCAATTTTAAGTGAGATGCTTACGGTCTAATCCAATTCAATGATCTATGCTAAGCTACTCTAAAAGGGCTCCCAGCAGACCCAGAAATCAGCTAAATGGATTAAAAAATGGTAAAACTCTTTAAAACATCAATGACGTCAAATAGAGCCATGAAAAAAAAACTTTCTAAAGACTAGAAGCAATAAGGAAGTAGATCTGTTCAATTAAGAAAGTTTCACTTTTGATTTTGGCCTCCACCGACTATGAAAAACAATTATCAAAATAAAAAAAGATTATCATGTCATATTAGATTTATTCATGCTTTTTTCTTTAAATAATAGTTTGAAGCATACACTAAACTGACACCGCTAAGGGTGTCAAAATGATTTGGCCTATGCACTATGTCGCTGTAGAATAATATTGCAAATGGGGCGAGGGCGAGTTAATAAACCACTCCAACTACTTACAGGGTTCGTACGGGTTCTGGAAATCTTGGAAAATGCTTGATTTTTAATAGTGTTTTTTAATAGTGACTTTTAAAAGTGCTTGAATTTGAAATTGCAGGGCTCGAAATTTGTTTACCAGATTTAGGAGATTTAGGTTCACACAGAATGCATATTTGCACATAAAAACGCCAAACGCAGTGCTCAGGAATAGTTTAAAACAGTTGACATGTCAACTTGCAGCAGTAAACAAAGCCTGCAATGCCTGTAAAAATACTAAATATAAGATATAAGATATTTTGAATAAAGTAATATTGATGAAAGATGACAAATTATGGTTTCCAAACAGTTGACATAGGAACAGTTCATTAATTTGCAGCAAGAATATTATATTCTACATTAGGGATTTAAGTTGTTGTTACAGGAATTTTGAATAGCAATGCACATGAAGTTGGAAAAGGTGTAAGAACCCTGTACATATATCACGTGTTTTATTTCAGTCAGTTTATCAGTGACTGTTAAAATTACAGTTTAAGTTTTCATTTATTTGTTAATTTTTAATTTTATTAATTTTAGTTATCTTTTTTTTTTTGTTATATATTTTTAACAGTTTTAATCTTAGTTGCTCAATAAATGAGCTATCTATCCATCTATCTATCTATCTGTCTATCTGTCTATCTATCCATCCATTCATCCATCCATCCATCCATCCATCCATCCATCCATCCATCCATCCATCCATCCATCCATCCATCTATCTATCTATCTATCTATCTATCTATCTATCTATCTATCTACAGTTGAAGTCAGAATTATTCGCCCCCCTTTGATTTTTTTTTCTTTTTTTTTTATATTTCCCAAATGATGTTTAACAGAGCAAGGAAATTTTCACAGTATGTCTGATAATATTTTTTCTTCTGGAAAAAGTCTTATCTGTTTTATTTCGGCTAGAATAAAAGCAGTTTTTAATTTTATAAAAGCCATTTTAAGGACAAAATTATTAGCCCCTTTAAGCTATTTTTTTTCCCGACAGTCTACAGAACAAACCACTACACAATAACTTGCTTAGTTACCCTAACCTACCTAGTTAACCTTATTAACCTAGTTAAGCCTAAAAATGTCACTTTAAGCCGTCTTAAATACTTGAAGTCAAATATTATTTACTGTCACCATGGCAAAGATAAAATAAATCAGTTATTAGAGATGACTTATTAAAACTATGATGTTTCTATATGTGTTGATAAAATCTTCTCCCCGTTAAACAGAAATTGGGGAAACAATAAGCAGGGGGGTTAATAATTCAGAGGGGCTAATAATTCTGACTTCAAATCTATCAATCCATCTCTCCCTCCCTCCCCATCTGGAAGTACAATTTTTGACAAAATAAAATAGTTATATAGCACTTGGTGTGTGATTTGCACTCTAAATGCACTTTCATATGTTAATCTAATGCGTCCTTTTGTTGATGCAGATTGAAAACAAGGAGCTCCGGGGTCTGCTGTCCATCAGCTCTGTGAAGCAGCACAGAGAGGAGAAAAACCCACCGGAGACGACATCTGAGACTGTGGAGAAACAGGAGTCCTAATGGAGGATAATGTTACTTTAGACAGCAGTTTGTGCATTTGTGTGTCAGCTGACCTGGTGTCCACTGACACTAATATCTCTATTGGGTTTTCTAGTTTCCTTCAGAACTGTCCTGGCGGTGGTTTTAGCTCTCTTATGTCCGATCATGCACTTTTTCTGATGTTTAATATTAGAGTTATTAATATTTTAGTTCAGGAAAGACCCATGACCTCTTTGCTTTTAATAATAGACTCTTGAATCGTTAGGCAGATGTGTGTTATAGATCATTTCTTTCTCTGTTTATGTTTGAATTTTCCAAAGATGTAAGTGTTTTTAATTTTAAAATAAGCTTTTTTCGGTCTTAAATTGATTTGTAGCTTCACATTCACTAGGTTTAGAGGGATTGTGGATAGTTCAGCTGAAAATTTTATATTGATTTGATGTTTTGATAAATGTTGGAAGCCGATAACCATTGACTTCCATTGTGTTTGATTTCTTACAATGGAAGTTAATGGTTACATGATTCCAACATTCTTTAAAATATCTTCTTTTGTGTCCAGCATAAAAAAGTGAGTGTAGGTAAACATATTTTTTTTTTGTGTGAACTCTCCCTTTTAAATTGATGTTGATAATTTTATGAATGTTGGAAACCAGTAACCACTGACTTCCATTGTGTTTGATTTCTTACAAGTCGATGGTTACCGGTTTCCAACATTGTTCAAAATATCTTTTTTTTGTGTTCAACATAAAAAAAGAAACTCGTTAAGCCACTTTAGTGTGAGTAAATGTTCATTTTTGGGTGAACTCTTTCTTTAAATTGATGTTGATATATTTTGAAGAATGTTGGAAACCGCTAACCATTGAATTCCTGTATTTGATTTCTTACAATGGAAGTCAATTGTTACAGATTTACAACATGCTTCAAAATATCTTCGTTTGTGTTTAACATAAAGAAACTAATCAAGCCACTGGAGAGTTATTTTGAAGAATGTTGGAAACCGGTAACCATTGACCTCCATTGTATTTGATGTTTTACTATGAAAGTCAATAGTTACAGGTGACCAACGTTCCTCAAAATATTACCCATTGTGTTTGATTTCAGAATATTTCCCATTGTATTTGATTTCTTACTATGGAGGTCGATGGTTACCAGTTTCCAACATTCTTCAAAATATCTACTTTTGTGTTAAGAAACTCATTAAGACACTTTAGTGTGAGTAAATGTTCATTTTTGGGTGAACTTCCACTTTAAATTGATGTTGATAAATCTTGAAGAATGTTGGAAAGCGCTAACCATTTACTTCCGTTGTATTGGATTTCTTACAAAAGAAGTCAATGGTTACCAGTTTTCAACATTCTTCAAAATGTCTTCTTTTGTGTTTAACATAAAAAAGTGAGTGTAAGTAAACGTAATTTTTTTGTGTGAACTCTTCCTTTTAAATTGATGTTGATAATTTTATGAATGTTGTAAACCAGTAACCACTGACTTCCATTGTGTTTGATTTCTTACAAGTCGATGGTTACCGGTTTCCAACATTATTCAAAATATCTTTTTTTTTGTTCAACATAAAAAAAGAAACTCGTTAAGCCACTTTAGTGTGAGTAAATGTTAATTTTTGGGTGAACTCTTTCTTTAAATTGATGTTGAGATATTTTGAAGAATGTTGGAAGCCGGTAACCATTGACTTCCATTGTGTTTAATTTCTTACAATGGAAGTTAATGGTTACATGATTCCAACATTCTTCAAAATGTCTTCTTTTGTGAGTAAACGTAAATTTTTGTGTGAACTCTCCCTTTTAAATTGATGTTGATATTTTTAAGAATGTTGGAAACCAGTAACCACTGACTTCCATTGTGTTTGATTTCTTACAAGTCGATGGTTACCGGTTTACAACATTCTTCAAAATATCTTTTTTTTGTGTTCAACATAAAAAAGGAAACCCATTAAGCCACTTGAGTGTCAGTAAATATCAATTTTTGTGTGAACTCTCCCTTTAAATTGATGTTGAGATATTTTGAAGAATGTTAAAAACCGTAAACCATTGATTTCCAATGTATTTAATGTCTTATTATGGAAGTCGATGGTTACCGGTTTACAACATTCTTCAAAACATCCTCTTTTGTGTTCAACATAAAAAAAGAAACTCGTTAAGCCACTTTAGTGTGAGTAAATGTTCATTTTTGGGTGAACTCTTTCTTTAAATTGATGTTGATATATTTTGAAGAATGTTGGAAACCGGTAACCGTTGACCTCCATTGTATTTGATGTTTTACTATAGAAGTCAATAGTTACAGGTGACCAACGTTCCTCAAAATATTTCCCATTGTATTTGATTTCAGAATATTTCCCATTGTATTTGATTTCAACGTTCCTATTGTATTTGATTTCTTACTATGGAAGTCGATGGTTACCAGTTTCCAACATTCTTCAAAATATCTTCTTTCGTGTTCAACATAAAAAAGAAACTCATTAAGCCACTTTAGTGTGAGTAAATGTTCATTTTTGGGTGAACTCCCCCTTTAAATTGATGTTGATAAATCTTAAAGAATGATGGAAAGCGCTAACCATTGACTTCCGTTATATTTGATTTCTTACAATAGAAGTCAATGGTTACCGGTTTTCAACATTCTTCAAAATGTCTTCTTTTGTGTTCAACATTAAAAAAAAAACTCATTAAGCCACTTGAGTGTTTTGGGTGAACTACCCCTTTAAATAAGCAGGCGTCTGCGTTGGGAGCGTATTTTGTATATGTGAAAACAGATTAATAACAGGCTCATTAACGAACCTCAACCTCAGATATATTGGTATTGTTAATGTTATATGTATTCTGCGGTATTGCATCTTTAAAGCGTCTCGATGTGATAATCTTGTATGACTTTCACAGTGATGAGAATCCTCTGAAATTTGCCAGTCTTTATTATTACTGTTAATTGTTGTATTTTCATCTCAGGAAAGCAATCATGTGTGTCACAGCTGTTATTTTGTATTCTTCATTATGTAAAATAAAATAGGAATTCTTTCAGTTTAAATGTGACCGATTTCGTCTTGTATTTAAGTTGCTGTCTGTTTGATGAATCATTATATGACTGTTTTGTGATGTAGAATATGCGAGTAAATTTCTCTTTGTGTTCATACAACAGTTCTGTCTGGTTCTCGAATCTGATTGGCTGATAGCCGTGCGATATTCCCCTAATAATAGCGCTTACAGCCTCTTCACCCGTGTGTATTACTCCGCCCACGTAGAGTGACCAGATCAATAAACTCACTACAGTTTGACAAATATTGCAGCTGTTGGACAACATAACGTACCTTTAACACTTTTTATGTGAGAATGTCTTTGTTTAGATTACAACTATGCAGTTTATGTATAAGGATAGTGCCTATTTTAATTATTTATAATTTCTGAGGCTTTTTCAGGATTAATTTTTGTGATCTCCCGATTGCAACAGAGAAATACTGGGAAATGTCTCTAGACTGATGCCATTTCACGCCGTTCAGCCTAATAATCTTAAAATGTGAGCAAAATCACCTGTTTTGTCATCACTTGAGATAAAATCATTCAAACACTATAGCTCTAAAGTGACGTTGGTGAATTAGTAATGGCTTCTGCTGTTCTGACGTCAGCTGCAGATGTGAATAAATGGCGGAAGAAAGTAGTTACTCTTACAAAAGCATTTTGAAACTCTCTGGGCTCTAATTTGACGGTCCATGCACAGAGCGCAAAACGCAGGGCGCAAACGCTTTCAGGGCGTGTCAGAACGCATTTTTGCTAATTTAAGGACGGGAAAATCCGTTTTGCGCCGTGGTGCATGGTCTTAAAGGGTTGAGTTTATTTTCTTAATGAGTTATAGGTGTGTTTTGAGAATAAACCAATTAGAGCCTCATCTCCCATTCCCTTTAAGAGCCAGCTGCCTCGCACCAAGAGCGCATTCGCTATTTACAGGATGTAAAGTAAGTCTAAGTGGAAAAACTGAGCATTTCATTAGCAAACAGTTAACAGTTTTTTAACAGAAAACTGTTAAACAGAGCATCTACTGCGTGAGAATGAGAGATAATGGATCACTTTCGCTCTTGGATAGGGAAACCTTTTACACACAGATATTAATTAGCCTATAAATAATTAATTTCGTTTGTTAAGCGCAAATATTCGTTTCAAAACTGTTTCTAAATTCAGTTCTAATTTCCAGCAAACAAATAAATGAACAATAATAACAAAGTGTGTTCAAAAACCTGAGTTATATCCTAAAACACATGCTGTGCCCCATATGGCCTAAACCTGACTGGTGGGCAAATCTAAGCTTGTTTTTAATAAAGCAAATATAAAAATGGATATAATAAATAATACTGCTAATAATAATAACATTATACAAAAGCAAATTGTTGTGAATGAACTGAAAAAGCCTCCCGAGATGAAGAAGACATAAAAGCAGTGGTTTTTCATATTTATATAGGCTAGAAAATAATATGTTTTGTAATATTTTAATCCTTTATATTTATATCCTATATCCTACATATATCCTTAATATTTACATTTTTTCATATGTAAAGATATTTGCCTATTGCTCTCTTTAAGCAGTGTGTAAGCGAGGCGCAACTCTACGCCGGAGTTTAGACCGGGTTTGTTTTGGTCTAATGAAAAATCTATTATAGTTTCTCAAAATAGCAACGCGCCATCGGTCCGCCTCAGATTGATTTCCTTTTTAGACCAGAACGCCTATGGGCGCACATATGAGCTCTAATGCATTTGCTATTTAAAGTGTAGCGCAACGCCTCAAAACAACTCTTGCGCCAAGCTAAAACTAGCAAACAAGTATTGCGCCGCGCCTTGCGCCACATTGCGCCAGGTGTATGATAGGGCCCTCTGTGTTTGATTTTCTTTTTTAAACACACGATTATGCCGTCAAACTGCAATATCACACTTATAGCAGTGCGATATGGCCGTATTTAATCACTGGTGGGAGGGACACTATGGCTGTTTCTAAATTGCACGAACGCAGAGAACAGACTTGCGCTCTTGTGGAGACCGGTCTTGCTAGGTTTCATCGGAAGAACGAACTCGGGAGACTGCGAGAGCAGAGAACGCGTCCTGTGAGAAATGAGATGCTGCGTTCATCCTGATGGTCACATGACCCTCATGTGTTTGTAATGGAATATAATTTAAACATTATAGCACTCATACAACGATTTACTGTTTTTCCCCTTTTCAAAATACATACTATATGAATAAAACATTATAAGTATACGTTTTTACAATATAAAAAAACAGATTTTAATATGAATTTCAGCAAATAAACAATCTCAGGGTGCTTTCACACCTGTGAATCGATTCAGTTGTTCCGAAACAGAGATTACAATTGTTACATTGTTGCTCTTTGCTCTTGGAGCGGTTCGCTTTCACACTGCAAAGTTTCTAATCGGACCAAAAGAGCTAAAACAAGTAACGTGCGAGTAAACTCTCCTTACATTGGTCCGAGTGTCAGAGTTTATTTTGCAGCGTCCCGCTCAGCTGTCAGGAGAGGTGGTGGTTTGTTGGTGATTGACAGGGTGTGCGCGCGATGTGTCTGAGGAGAGACGCGGTGGGGAGGGGTGAGAATGGTGCGCGACGATGCCTATTTGAGGACCGGGAGGGAGACGCGAGATTACCCGTTTGCGGGCATCCGGAGACTCGCGAAACTTCCCGCCCTACTCATAATTCTCTCTTCATATAGCCGTAAGCCTATTACATATCCATAAAACACAGTGATACAACCGCGCTCGGATCGGATCGCTTTCTCACTGCAATAGAACCGATCCAGGGTTCGTTTCAATCGAGCCGAGACCACCTCATTCAAGCGATCTCGGAGCGATTACTTTGGCGCAGAACAGAGCGCGATTGCCCTGTTCACATATGCCAAACAAACCGCGCTAACTGGGCAAACGAGACACGTTCCGAAACAAAAGTGTAGGTGTGAAAGCACCCTTAAAGTGTTCATTCCTTTATTAAGATGTTCATGGGAATGTTCATATTTACCATTTCATTTAGGGAAACTCCTGAGGTAAATAAGTTACATCTCTAAACTTTAATAATAAATCTAAATAAAACGCAGCGCTTCCCACCTCCAGTCGCAATGACTTCTGGGACTTCTAGAGGGAGTTTGGTGCTCAAGTCTGCATCGATGCGTCCTCGATATCAAGAACACATCCGGGAAGGTTGACGCGTCCTCTGCTCTTGCGGTTTTGAGTATTTGAACTGAACTTTGGCAGCTGATGATGATGTTACACGAGAACACAAGACCGCTGAAGAACGCATATTGAGAAACAGCCTATGACAGTTGGAAGTATCGCACACCAGGCGCGAATGTTATTTAATATGAAACTATTCAGATGGTGCTCTGCGGCGTGGCAGAAATATGAACAGTGTCCTGAGTTGTAGCTGGGCGCCGCGAACAGCTGCCTACTTGCAGGGCCGGTGTGTGTATCCTGATAGAAATCTATGTTTAGAATTCTAAAAGAGATGGGTTGCGGCTGGAAGGGCATCCGCTGGGAAAAAGAAATGCTGGATAAGTTGGCGGTTCATTCCACAGTGGCGACCCCAGATTAATAAAGGGACTAAGCTGAAAAGAAAATGAATGAATGAATGAATGCTCATATACAGCTATGCAAACAATTAAGAGACCACTTGGAAATTCTTAGTTTGTCTTAATTTATAAATGATAGTTATGAGTAAAACAATTATTGTTTTGTTTTGCGAATTACTGATAGCGTTTCCTCTAAATGTAATATAAAAATGTCATTTGAGAACAATAAATAAAAAGTACGCGATGTAAAAAGATTCCATGTTTCCAGACATCTTTATATTATTGTTTAGACAACACAATTCAGTGTTTTTACAGATCAATATTTCGTGGAATAACCCTATTTTTTATTTACAGCTAATTAAAATGTACTTTTACCAATTTTCAATTTGTCATCACACTTATAAAAACAAAATAAATATTTCACTCAAACCGCATACGTAATACATCCAGAGAAACTAGGGGGTAAAGTCTAGAAGGGATACAGCTGCAGATACACATATCAATAGAGCATAATTTTGGTGACACTGTGCAACAATAATTCATATTTTTACATTACTGTGATGATTGGGATAGGGATCAAAGTTTAAAAAAAGGCAGTTTAATGGTAATTCAATGAATAATATAAATAATATTCTGTATAATTACTGTTTTACATTACTGTTAGGGTATGGGTAGATGTTAATACAATACAATTTATTGGGTAATTTAATGAATTATAAGAAAAATACTCTGTATAATTACTGTTTTTACATAACTGTAAGGGTTGGGGTAGGCGTTTGGGTCAATAACTTACAATTTATTAGGGTAATTTAATAAATAATATCAATAAAACTCTGTATAATTACTGTTTGTATATTAGTGTGAGGGTTGGGGTAGGGGTAGATGTTAATACAATACAATTTAACGGGTAATTTAATAAATAATACTTAGTATAATTACTGTCTTTACATTACTGTGAGGGTTGGAGTAGAGGTTTAGGTTAATAACATAGAATTTAATGGATAATTTAATAAATAATATGAATAACAATCTGCATTATTGCTGTCTTTGCACTACTGTGAGGGTTGGGGTAGGGGTTTGGGCTAATAACTTTCAATTTATTTGAGTAATTTAATAAATAATATCAATAATACTCTTTAAAATTACTGACTTTACATCACTGTGAGGGTTAGGGTAGGGGTTTGGGTTAATAACACACAATTTAATGCAGTGGTTCTCAACCGGTGGGACGTACTACATGGGTAATTTAATAAATAATATGAATAATACTCTGTATAATTACTGTTTTTACATTACAATGTAAAACAGTAAGGTACATTAGTAAGGGTTGGGTAAGGGTAGAAGGTAATAAAATACAACTTAATAGGTCATTTAATAAATATCATGAATAATACTCTGTATAATGACTGTGAGGGTCGGGGTAGGGGTGGATGGTAATATGATACGATTTAATGGGTAACTTAATAAATAACATGAATATTATTACTGTTTTTACATTACTGTGAGGGTTTGGCTAGGGGTGGACGTTAATAAAACATTTAATTGATAATTTAATATATTATTATTGATAACGTTTGGCCGCAGCTGTATCTCTTTTAAGCTGGGTATTTTTAAAACTTGCATTATTTCTCCGCCTGTCCAGCGGGTGGCGCACTCATCATTCTCCACTGTCGGAGAAGGAAAGTATGACAGCGAACAGCCTTCAAACCAAAGTCATCCGCACTACTCCACTTCTCTGCTGTCATCATGTCTGAGAAAGAGCTCGGCCAGAAATGGGATCGTTGTCTCGCAGACTGCGCTATTAAAGTCGGTAAGACATCATCTGATTCAATAAAGCGCTTTAAACACGGTCTCGTCCGTGTAGGACACTCAGGTCAACGATAAGACGCTCGCACGTTGGATTTAACGTTAGCTCAAAACCTAGTCAACTCCCTACCTAGACAACATGTATGGGGCACTACGTGTGTGACGTTAAATATGAAGTAGGATTGTTTTGAGAGAGATTATTTTGTGTTATATTAAATAAGGTTATGTCAATTAACGTTAGTATTAACGTACAATAGGACGGACCGCCTACTATTTACTCTAGTCTAGATTGTATGGCAGCTTTACTATGAGTATATGTTGGGTTTTTTGCTATGTTTTCCTTTTAAGTGGTTCTTTAACGAATATAAAAGCATTTTAACTACCAACATACAGGTGTCATGAGCTATTTTGTAGTGTAATAAGCTGTTTTTCTCCTGCAGGTACTGGTCTGGGTCTAGGAATTGTGTTCTCTGTTGTATTCTTCAAGCGTAAGTGTACTACATAGTGCATGCCGAGTGAAGCTACTGTAGAGCTGCATGATATCTGTGAAAAACTGACATGGCTATAGTTTGTTTTTATATAGTTTTGCTTTTTTATAGTTTGCGATATCGATTGTAATATGGATACAATTTCACAAAATGACTATTTGGGGGGGGGATTATAATTTTACATTGATTGTGATGGTTTGGGGATAGTGTATCTGTAAAAAATATACAAAATTATAATATCTGAATATATTTCTTCATAAATATATGTTTGTATATATGAAAACAATAGAACAAAGATATAACAAATGAAATGGTTATGGTTTTAACAGTAAACTAGCCTAATAGACCCTTTTTACTAAATGGTAATGATCTGTTTCAATGGTCATGAGCACTGCAAATCCTTGAGAGGTACAGAAATTCAATATTAAAATAATACAGTCTAGTCTTTCTTGTATAAATAATTAAGCTTAATATGTGTTAATGTGACAAATTATATAATTTCTTGTGTCCAAATTGTTTAAATTCACTTGAAATCGCTTGAGATCTAGCGATGTGACAATTAGGGATTTAACGATTCAATTCACGATACCGATCTCACGATTTAGTCACGATTTTTTAACTAAATTATCTGAAACAAATTTAAGGTGAAAAGCTAAAGGGTCAGTTCACCCAAACATAAAAATACTGCTAATAAATGTTCACCCTCATGTGTTTCGATCCCCTGAGATCTTCATTCGTCTTCAGAACACAAATGATGATATTTTAGATGAAATCCTGGACCTCTCACATCCTCCATAGACAGCAGGCAAGATGTCAAAAACATTGTCAAGAAGCTGTATGTAATTTCAGTGGATCAGCTGTAATTATACAAAGCTCCAAGAACACTATTATGCACCAAAAAGTGGCTTTGTTTGTCAAATATTTTTGGTTGACAATGTTTTTGGTTTCGTTTCTTGACTGTAAACTTCTCAGGAATGTTGCTATATATTTAAACATCTTATAATTTGTGTTCTGAAGATGAACTTGGATTGAAACAATATGAGGGTGAGTAATAAATAACAGAATTAAAAAATTTTGGATGAACTAACCCTTTGTTTTTGACATTCAGAAAGTGTAGGTAGCCTTTTGACTTTCATTTTATGAATCACAGAAAGCAAAGTTGTTTATTTTTATAATTATTATGTTGATTAAATTCACCTACATAATCTACGACCAGACTAAATGAACAGCAAGCTTTCATTTTGGTTCAATAATCTCCGTCATCCATCCTAACGTGATGGTTTGTTTTTGCAGGCCGGACGTCGCCTATTGCGCTTGGGACAGGGATAGGGCTTGGCATGGCTTATTCCAACTGCCAGAATGACTTGAGATCACATTATCAGCTGCACAGAAGCGCTGCTAAGGTATGAGACTAGTGTTGTCATGAACAAATCCCACCTTCAAGAAAATAAAAAGTGTGAGGTCTTGGGCTTATTCATAAAAACATGCCCCCAATGTGAATTCATGAGATGAAATATTAGTTGTGTCCCAAATTACGCATTTATATACTCAACCATTTAGTTTAATGGTTTAATTTAAACGAGCTGATCAAGTAATTTTTACCAGATGTATTTACCAAATTGTATTGGACATACAAGATTAACACATAACTTTTTACTCAAAGATGAAGACCCTAGCCAATGTTTACACTGTAAAACCCCATGGACTGTAAAACACATTTTACTGGACTGCCCTGCTTTAAATGACTCCAGAAAGAGTTTTTATGATGAGAACTCTCTTAAGGACATTTTTAACAAAGTGACTCGAGAAAAAGTATTAGAATTTTTAACATGTATTAAGCAGAAAAATCTTATTTAAACTGTATAATCAATTATTTATTTTTTACTGTTGATGTTTGTTAATTACTGAAATGCTCTTGCCATGAAAACTGTCTTAGAAGCATACATGGCAATAAATAAATAATGAATAATGGTTTAATTTAGTTTAGTTTAGTCTCCACCCAAATGCAACACTCATTTTTTACTAACCTGAAATTTAAGCCAATTCCAAGTCCACGTTTAACAGTTGCCAAATAGTGGAATAAATTGCCAAACTAGCAAATAGACCCTTTTCACAAAATGGTAATGATGTGTTTTAGTGGTCATAAGCACTGCAAATCCTTGAAAGTTTTTTTTTTATTCGATATAAAAAGAAACTATGTACATTTATAAAAAATACTATTATTGTTGCAGCGAACTACAGAAAAACTGGTTAACATTTTCTACTGCTACAAGCGGTTTTTAAAGCCCCTTTCACACAGTGATACCGGTAAATATCCGTAAAATTTCCGGAACGACTTTACCGGTATATTCAAAAAAGCGCTGTTCACACAGGCGAGGACGTTACGGAAATTTTCCGGAAAAGAGCATTCACACATCCATTCCAAAATACCGGTAAATTCTGACATCATTCACCACAAATGAGCTTTAAACGGCTGCGCTTGTATTTGTAAACATTCGACTAAATTACAAACTCTGTGGATGATCAATATTGTGAACAACTTTCGCAGGATCACTTTCGCATGTCGAGATGTTCATAATATGTGCGTGTGCAGGCGCTCACAGGCTGTTTCACAGGCACACGAACGTAAACCAACAACGGCTTATCATAAGCATCTCATCGATGATTATTTACACAGTTGGCATTAAGAAGAACATAGAAAGGTGATCTGACTAACTTCTAGCAGCTAAATGTGTCTGGAAAAATATTCAAAGGCTTTTATTCTCACAAACCGCGCGCACGTGAATGCGTCTGACTGTTGTGATTGGCTAAAGCAGACGTCTCACGTCAGCACGTTATAGACGTGCACGCGCTTATTACGGCAATCTTCCTTCTGTATTCACACAGCGCAGCATTCCGGCAAATTGCCGGTAATGTTACAACTTCTCTTTCCGGAAAATAGTCGGAACGAATTTACCGGTAATTTCAAAAAGGACCTGTTCACACATACAGACCTTTCCGGAAAATTGCCGGCAATTTTCCGGAAAGGTCTGTATGTGTGAAAGGGGCTTAATACAGCTTCTGTGTGTAAATTTGACTTTGTTTACTTCCATTTCTGGCTGCGGTTATAAATCTCACTTTTTTTGCCCCTCTTTTTCTGAAAGTGGTAAAAACACTATGTTGGAGTTTTTCTTTTGCTATTTGATTAAATGGGAATGCAAAACATGTGGTACTCTCCATTCACTGCTCTCTAAGGCTCAGTTTGCATAACTTTTATTACGGTTTTGCCTTCGTCCACACTACCCTGGAGTTTTCGAGCCCTGAAAACTGAAGAGGCCGTTTTCGTTTGAAAACGCTGATGCTCTGTGTCAGTGTGGATGGGGGTGAAATGAAGACATCTAAAAACAGAGGCTGGATCTGATTGGGGCTTTTTCTCAATATCAAGTGCACAAAGTTCAGTCTTTCATCCTTTCCTTGTAAGTTCAGACTTCGCAAGTTTAATATGGCAAACTAGCTCCAGAGGATACGTCGGGTAATTCCTCAAAGGGAACAGGTTACTTTATAACGTCATTCACATCACCCTGGCTACGTTGTTTAAACGATAAAATGAAAGCATGATATAAGGAACTGCGTATTTTCATTTTGGTGTTAACGACTTAACAGACAGCAAAAATGTTGAGGAGTCGTGTAGCTGCATATTTATATGACCGTCATCTTCACTGTATGCATATTTCTAACAAAACGAAGCCTAAAACATCACTGCCTCATTCATTTTGACTGAAAATGAATTAAGATGAATTCAATTTCTAAATGTCTAATCATCTTTGTTCAATCCCGCCGCTTTCCCAGTGCTTGTTTCACCCTGGGGGACTTTGTTTTTTGCATTTAGTTTTATTATCCCACTTATTACACAGCATGTACGTTTCTCACATGGGTCTATGATGTCATGCAAAAATAATGACTTGATTTAGGTTATTTTAGCAGTTTATCAAACTTGTTGAGCTTAAATGTTTGAAAATCTTCAATATTGTGTAAAAAAAAAAGTCATTCTGACATGAATATTACAGCGATAATTCAAATGAGGTGCTCTGATTCATTGTTCATCAATAAATATTACAGAGACTGCTTGATGTATACATGCCATTATGTGAATGAGATGAACATGAACGTTTTAAATATTATTAGTTTAACGCATGCTGTACAAAATGTATTGGTCGTTGTTAATGTAAAAACTAAATTAAATCATTTAAGCAATCTAAATGGCAGGGGTGCTCCGTATCAGTATTTTTGCAGCCGATACCAAGTACCTATTACTTATCATGTTGATCAGCTAATATCAATATTAAGCACCAGTTCTGATGTTGTAAGCTTTATAATGCAATAAGCTCATTTTCCCTATAAGTATGATACTTGAGTGGAGATCTTGCCTTACCTAAGAGTATAAATGAAGGATGCTGCATATAATCCTTTAACATTCTCTTACATTCATTTAGTGTGGGCATGCCATGGTCAGAAGCAACTTGACAGAAAATAAAAGATTAAACAGATCAAATAGTTGGATAAAAAAAAAAATCACTAACAAAGTAATTTGGAAACATTGCAAATGATAGAAGAAGAATTCAACATCTCAGTAAAGTTTGAAGCAGATATTTGATGCATGAGGTAAAATGCACATCTTTCAATCCATTACGTAAATAGGTCGATAAAAAACTGTCTATTACAATACGTATATTATAATAAGTTGTATTATTAAATATTCAAGTTATTTTTTTATTTATTTCCCTAACATTTCCAGCCAGGTTTAAATGAACTTGCAATATTGTTAAAAACACAGAACTTTAAGTTCTGCTATGTAAAAAGATTTCAGTTCTTATGTTATTTGCTTGTAAACTCATAAACAAACAATTGTGATCGGTTCATGAGATCGGCCAGATTGAGTCATGAAATGATTATATTGTCCGTTACCGATCTCTGGCCAATCAATGGGAGGATCCCTACTAAACAGTTTAAGTTATTGACAATAAATAATCTGTATGGGCAACGCGGTGGCGCAGTAGTTAGTGCTGTCGCCTCACAGCAAAAAGGTTGCTGATTCGAGCCTCGGCTGGGTCAGTTGGCATTTGTAGAGTTTGCATGTTCTTTCTGTGTTTGCATGGGTTTCCTCCGGGTGCTTCTGTTTCACACACAGTTCAAAGACATGTACAGGTGAATTGGGTAGGCTAAAATTGTCCGCAGTGTATGTGTGTGAATGAGTGTTTCCCAGTGAAGGGTTGCAACTGGAAGGGCATCCGCTGCGTAAAACATATGCTGGATAAGTTGGCGGTTCATTCTGCTGTGGCGACCCCAGATTAATAAAGGGACTAAGCAAAAAAGAAGATGAATGAATAATAATCTGTATTGCACTCAGTTGCTATAATATTTTTATGAAAAAAAAAAATTTCCTTTGCTTTTGCATTGCATATCGTATTCTGTTCATGTTGTATTTGTTGTAAAGGTAGTTTTCTTTAGTTTGATCATATTAATGCATGCTTTTTTGGTTTCTCATCTTCAAGGATATAAAATTTGCATTTAAATACCTGCTGAAGTGTTAAATCCTGACCGCCGTTTTGTGTCTTCTCTTTCAGGAGCAGTGAAGTCCGCTCAGTCATGGATCTGCCTTGCTTTATTTTTTTTTGTAAGCCTGACACAGTCAGACTAGTTACCTTTTGCTCTCAATAATATCCATGTTCTTGTACAGGACACACTGTTTATTTAATAAAATGTGGAGTTTTGACGTTTGCAAAAGATGATTTGAATGTGTTTGATTTTTTTTATTTATATTAAAAAAAACAGCCCTACAGACATGTGCATTCCTTCTACTCTAAGCTTTACTGATAGCAGGTCACATCTGGCTTTCAAACCTGGAGCAGATGAGTTTTTGGTGAAGATGCCAAACTAGTGCCCTTACTGTGCTCAAAGCAAAACGTGTGCACTAAACCTGCAGTGTTGGCATGGTGACAGCTCTTCAGGAGTGAAGCATCACTTTGAGTGTGTATTTTTGCACAATGATGGAAGTAAAATATCAAAATAAATTCCAGTGCATAACCTTGTACAAGAGTAAGGCTTTAGAGAATTGTTGCAGGCATGTTGACTATAAATACTAAATGTATCTTTTGCTTTTGTCAGAGGTAACTGTACAAGAGCTTTTTTTTTCTTTCTTCACAGCTTTCCTTTGTTTTCTGGGAATAAACTGAACTTGTAAAATCGTTTGATTCTTGTTTAATTAATGCAGATGGTCGCAACAATAATATACAGTACTTGTACATAACTTTTAAAAGCTATTATTTGCTAGTTAATTGGTTAAAGTTACCACAGGGTGTCCGCGAGGTCTTAAAAATCTTAAATTTCAAAAACAAAATGTTATGCTTTAAGTCTTATATTTTGTTGTAGTTCCTATATCATGTTAAACCAGCCTGATCTCACGAGAAAACGTAAGTATTTTACGTTTTGCCAGTTTAGTGGCTAATTCGTACGAATTCGTACGAATTCAGTCGTACGAAATGGTACGATTTTAAAAAGGAGGCGTGGCACCTGACCCCACCCCTAACCCCAACCGTCATTGGGGGATAAAAGTTACGAATTGCCGTGAGATTGTGTTGGTTAAACAGGTCTTCATTTTCTTACAGTTAAAGTCAGAATTATTAGCCCCCCTGTATTTTTCCCCCTCAATTTCTGTTTAACGGAGAACAGATTTTTTTTTTCAACACATTTCTAAACATAATAGTTTTAATAACTCATTTCTAATAACTGATTTATTTTATCATTAACCATAATGACAGTGAATAATATTTGACTAGATATTTTTCAAAACACTTCTATACAGCTAAAAGTGACATTTAAAGGCTTAACTAGGTTACTTAGGTAGGCAGGTTAGGGTAATTAGGCAAGTTATTGTATAACGATGGTTTGTTCTCTAGATTATCAAAAAAAATATATATATAGGCTAATTTTGTCCTTAAATGATGTGTTAAAAAAATAAAAACTGCTTTTATTTTTGACGAAATAAAACAAATAAGACTTTCTCCAGAAGAAAAACTATTATCAGACATACTGTAAAAATTTCCTTGCTCTATTAAACATTGTTTAGGAAATATTTAAAAAAGAAAAGCAAATTCAAATGGGGGGCTAATAATTCTAACTTCAACTATATATATATATATATATATATATATATATATATATATATATATATATATATATATATATATATATATATAAAATTTATAACTTTAAATTATTTACTAGGCTAATGAAAGCTTATAACATTCTGATGTTTGTCTGAATTTAAGTAGGCTACAGGTAAAAATTAATAACCATTTCTGTTGGCCGGGTGTACAAAATGACCCGTGATATCAGTTCAAGGGGAAAACTGCTTTAAAAGTTCATTTCTGACCACATACTTTATAATGCAATATTGAAGCCCTACTTAGTAATTAGTTTTTTATTTTCTTTTTTAAATATAATTTATGCTTTTAAATAGTTTATTAGGCTAATTAAAGTTAATAATATTCTGATATTTGTCTGAATTTAAGTAGGCTATAGGTCAACACGAATAGCCTACATTGTGGTAGGCCAAATATACAAAATGACCCTTAATATGAGTTCCAGGAGGAAAATTGTGCTTTAAAAGTTCATTTCTGACCTCATACTTTACATTGTAACATAAACTTATATTATAAAGCTCTTCAGTATAGTTTTTTTTTTTTTATCATTTACAACTTTAGATAATTTATTAAGCTAAAGCAAGTTTTTAATATTCTGATGGATTTAAGTCAGTTTCAGGTACAGGTTAATTTCTGACCTCATACTATGTACCGCAATTTTAAATCTATAGAAATGACTTTCCTTTTTTTTTTTTTTTTTTTTGTATAATTTTAAATAGTTTGTTAGGCTAATTAAAGTGATTAATATTCTGATATTTGTCTGAATTTGAGTAGGCTACAGGTAAACACGAATAGCCAACTGTACATTTCGGTGGGCCATACAAAATTACCCTGGATATCAGTTCCAGGGGTAAATTGTGCCTTAAAAGTTGACAACATACTTTACTTTGCAACGCAATATTGAAGCCCTATTTAGGAATTGGTTTCATTTTTATAGGCCCTATATATAATTTGCAATTTTAAATACCTTATTAGGCTAATTAAAGTCTATAAATAATCTGATGTTCGTCTGAATTTAAGATAACGGATAAATATAGCGCCTCGGTAGGTTCCAGCTTTAAAAGTTCATTTCTGACCACATAATGTAGGCTACTTGTAGCGCAATATTGAACTCCTAGTAATGTAGTGGGTTTCTTTTTTTAATATATAATTTACAGCTTTAAATAGTTTGTTAAGCTAATGGAAGTTTTTAATATTCAGCTGGATTGAAGTAGGCTAACGTTACAGGTAAACACGAGCCAACAAAGCTAGGCTAAGTAAAAAAAATCTAAAAATCAGTTCCAGGAGGAAATACTGAAGCCCTAATTAGTAATGTCTTTTAAAATATATATAAAATGTACAAATGTAATAGTTTATTAGTTGAAGTTTATAATATTCTGCTGTTTGCCTGAATTTAGGATAACGTTAGTACAAGCAAACTCAACAGCCTAACGTTACATTTCGGTAGGCTAATTATATAGGACATCAGTTCCAGCAAGAAATTGTGTTTTTTCTTACCTCATACTTTATTTGTAAGGTTACAGATAATGCTAACATTAAAATGGCTAATTTCCATATAACGGTAAAAGGCTATACAATACCGTTAATATTGTTAATCATTTTTATTTATTTTATGTTTAATTATTTTAGAACATCAAATGCAAATAAAACTGAGGAACATAATGGGATACATTAACTACAACCGACTAATAAGGTTAACCTTACCTGTATACCCGAGATAGTTTTTCAGTTTCCCCCTCCTCGTTTGGTCCTCTATCCGTTTGGAAATACAAACACAGAGATTTGTCCAATAGTCCACAGCCTGTCCCTCAGTATAAAAATCCGTTTCAATTCTTACACAGGAGAATAACACAGGCATGCACCATTGTGTGGGAAAATAAAAAAACTTTTACTAAGTATTTACCAATCAAAGCTGTATTTGACTGCGGCCTTGAACGACAACAAGCTTAGTGCATTATGGGTGTTGAATAAAAGCAACACCAAGGCCTTTCCCCCTCGATTTTTCTGTTTTCTGTAACAAGAAAGATTTTTCATAAATCACCTTTCTAAAGCATATACAGCAAAGCTTAATTAAAAACCAACTTTAATAAATCCCTTCACTTTCATAATAGTTCAATATCTAAAATTAACTATGTAAAATGACCACTCAGTCAGCAAATCACCTCAGCAGAAATACATTTAAAATTAATTAAAAATGTTTTTGCTTCGTAGTCTCGCACATATTTCCATAAGCTATTTGGTTGATGTTAATTGCTTGCCTCAATTAACCCTGAATAATGATTGGCTGTGAATGTGCATAAAGTCGCATTAAAAGCTGGATGCTCAGACACGCTTTATGGCCAGCAGCAGCAGAGTGCGCATCCCGCAGCCGCCCTGAAGTGGACGATACAGGGATTAGGAGGAACAGCAAAGACGCCAACACGGTTACCTCGTCTAGTGCACTCGTCCGCTCACTTTTACTCAATTACAGCCACGCAATTACAGACTAAAGCGTGCTGAGCTCATAAAAATGCATAGAAAGCGAACACAAATCCACTTTAATGAGAATTACCAAAACTAAGATAATTTTTCCCTTTATTTTACTCATCTAAAAATATCTACACTGTAAATAAAGGGCTTTGGTATTGTGTAATAGATGCTTCAGTGAATCAAATATATTTATTTAAATTACATCTAATTTAGTAATAAAAACTACTTAAGTTTTCAGTGTTTTGTGGGATAGGCTATATATTTCTAACAGAATTAGCTATTTCGGTGAACTTTAGATCAAACTATGCATCTAATTTGACTATTTTTAGGCTAAATGTAGAAACAAACACCTATTTTATGAGAAATCAATATTTTTAGTGCTCTAAATCTGCCGGTTTCAGACTGTTGAATGACTTAAATGAATATCTATTATTTTAAATATTACATTAATATTTAAAATACCAAATAGAGTGATCTTTTTCTCAGATTCAAAAGACCCCCATACATCTTCTTTTGATGTTCTTTAGGGGGGATCAAGCATTAATTAGGGGGGCTCAATCCCCCCAATCTGTAATTCGCACCCTGGAAACATCCATACACATACACTGCGGCCAATTTAGTTTATTCAATTCACCTTTGGACTGTGGGGGAAACCAGAGCAACAAGGGGAGAACATGCAAACTCTACACAGAAATGCCAACTGACCCAGGTGGGACTTGAACCAGCAACCTTCTTGCTGTAAGGTGACAGTGCTAACCACTGAGCCACCGTGTCGCCATCTGTTCAAATTACTTATTTAAAATGAGCTGAAAAATATTTAAGTTTTTTTTTGGGGGGGGACAACTTAATTGTTTTGTGTTCAATCTACTTAAATTTGTTACGTTAACTTAATTTGTATTAGGAGAACATAAATGAATTGTGTGGAACCCATTTTTTAAGGTATTAAGTTAGCTTATTAATTTCGACAAATTTAATTGAACATAAAACAATTAAGTTATCCCAAAAACAAACAGAAAAATTGTGTTGTTTTAACTTTAGTTTGGTCTTGCTCTTGTAATGTCAGTTTCTAAATAAATAACGTTGAACTCATAAAAATGCATGGAAAAAAAACAGAAATCCATCTTAATGTGAAATACTAGAACTGAGATCATTTTTTTAATTCACTCATCTAAAAATATTTACACTGTGTTAAAAAAAAAATTATATATATATATATATATATATATATATATATATATTTTTTTTTTTTTTTTTACTAATCAATATTCAATTGGTGCTTGCACTATGTGTTTAGAACATATAACTCTTTTTGTCCTATTAAAATTACCAGCCTGACCTCACAAGGAAACAACAATTTCATGTTTTGGCAGTTTAGTGGCTAATACAAATTTGTGTGTGTGTGTGTGTGTGTGTGTGTGTACATATATACAGTATATATATATGCTTATCATATCATTTCATTGGGTTAATTTTACATCTGAAAATAGCAGAGATATCAGAAAATCATAATTTTACCTGCAGTGTTTCTGTAAGAAAGAAAATAATTGTGTCAACAAATATGTGAAACTAGGGAGAGTGTTGTAACATGGGGTTAGTTCATTTTTAGCACCCAAAACTAAAATTGTCATCATTTACTCAGCTTTTACTTGTTCCAAACATGTTTGACTTTAATTTACTTTAAATTTTGTAGGTTGTCATTATTTTTGCAATTTTTTGCTTGAATTTAATAGTATTATCGTTTAATTTCTAAATATGTTTGGAGACAAAAATATTGTTTTCATAAATATATCTGTTCAATAAATCTGTTTTGTTTAAATGCACCAAAATACTGAGAAATGGAGAAAGATTTAACTTTTTAAAAAGAGGTGTACTCAATTAATCCGAGCACTGTATATATGTAAAAAAATCTGACAAAAACTGAACATGTGCACATTATGCACTTCACAGGGGGCTTCAGTCTTGTTATCTTGAATGGGGTCCTTCAACTAATTAAAGTTTCCCATGGAACTGCCCGATTAGCATAGTGTCACACCAGAGGACATGCTTTTCAGTGACAAAATCAATCAAGTTCCTTTATTTTTAAAAGTATATAGCCATTTCCTAAAACAGCTTCTTGTAAAATTAGGCCTGAGGTGATTATTAATTCAATTTATAAGAGTTGAACTATGCTTGAGAACTATAAGACTAAAAAATATAACACAGCAGTTTTTATAACAAGAGGTCCACAGAAGACAATGTTTAACCTTTACTGACAATAATAATTATATTCAGTTCTGTCATGTTTGACAATGAAATTGCACCGTCACGTCAACAACCCAAGTACCCAAGTTTTTGTTTTTAATTCACTCATCTAAAAATATCTGCACGGAAGTCTCTCTCGTAACACACACACTCTCTCTCTCTCTCTCTCTCTCTCTCTCTCTCTCTCTCTCTCTCTCTCTCTCCGTTTTAAACACACACACACACAGTCTCTCTCTCGTACCGAAGCCCACCTCTCAGCCGCCCTCCCCCAAAGAGTGTCATCATGACACGTAGCTTTGAAATACTCCGACAGGCACAGAATTGCTCACACTGGTGCAAGGCATTGAAGAAGCCAGATTATTGACAAGGAGATGTGTAATTGTGCGCTGCTCATCTCACGCTAACAAATGGAGTGATGGCAGCAGCAGAATATCCCTGCACTGATGCGAGCAGAGGGAGTGAAATCTCCAACATTGGCAGGAAAAAGATGGAAAGGACTCCTACTACAAACAGGACATCTTGATCTTTTAAGCCACAGATTTCGCAGAGGTGGAAAACTATTTCTCTCTCTCTCAATGAACTTAAAAAAAAGAGCTGGATGCGTGTTCGCTCAGAGGAAGTGCGCACGGTCCTATTCAACTCTCCGATGATGAGTGGCTCACCACCAATCCCTCGAGTAGAAGCGGCATCGGATCTGTGGAAAATTCACAGGAGCTTCAATGACAGCAGTACTATCTCTGACGGCTGGAGCATCGGTGGCAGCGGTCCTTGGCTTCTGGCTGTCATGCTTTCGCTCATAATTCTGGTGACAGCTTGCGGGAACATTTTGCTGATTGCACTGGTGTTTGCGCATCGGTCCCTGCGCTGTACCTCCAACTGCTTCCTGGTGTCCCTCTTCCTGTCAGACTTGATGGTGGCACTGGTGGTGATGCCTCCCGCTATGCTTAATGTGCTGTGCGGGACCTGGGTGCTGGCACCCGGATTCTGCCCCGTCTGGCTTTGCTTCGACGTGATGTGCTGTAGCGCTTCCATCCTCAACTTGTGCGTGATCAGTCTGGACCGCTACCTCCTCATTATCTCCCCGTTGCGATACAAACAGCACATGACCCCACCGCGTGCTTTGTTGTTGGTGGGCGGTGCTTGGGGATTGGCAGCGCTCACTTCCTTCCTGCCTATCAAGATGGACTGGCATAGCTTGGGTCGCATGCAGGAACTTACGGAGGATGATCCTGGCAATGCTACGCATCTGAACTCCTTCTACCCGTCATCTTACTTCCAGCTTTCTAGTTCTGGGATGCCATCGACGCAGTGCCGCCTGCGGGTGACTTTGCCGTTCGCCCTTGTGGCAACCTTTCTCACTTTCTTTTTGCCTTCCACCGCCATCTGTTTCACCTACTGCCGGATTCTGTTGGCGGCCCGAAGACAAGCGCGACAGGTGGAGGCTCTTACTCATCCTGCTTACCCACAACACTCTCTCGGGGAACCGTCCCGTCCTCCCTCTCCCGGTCACGCCATTCAGGATGGAGATGACTACAGTCATCAGGAGCCACCCGGCCTGCGACATGCTCCGGTGAGAAGATTTCTGAGAAATTCGATTGAGATCAACTTGACAAGAAGTTACTAGGTGGAAATTTAGGTGGAATTTTTTAAGTCGGCATGAAATCGAAGATACTCATTTTCCCCTACATCGTGACTACATCTTAGAGAAATGGTCCAGAAATTTGAAATAAAAATAAGAGTCACTTTATTTTGACGGTCCGTTTTTTTAATTTAAGTTACATTGCATCTACATGACAACTAATCCTAATTTGATTATAAGTGGACTGTTAGGTTGGGGCTAGGGTGAGTTGACATGTACTTACAAAGTTTCTTTTAGTCAGTTAAATGTCCGTTGAAGAAACAGTATCAACAGATATTAAGCAGACAGTCTACTAATACTCAGATGGACCAGCAAAATAAAGTGTCACCAAAAAATGTAGCACGGTGCATGATTTGGTTATTTGGGAATCGACTGGATCTTTGGAAGAGGGGCTTTGCAAACAAATCCCAGCAAGCATATCTTGTTTTTAAAAGATGACTAATAGACGTCTAAACATTGTCGTCTTGGCCAAAACAAGGCTAAATGTGGGCTGTCCATAAAAATTCAATAGGCATCAGAATAGGCCAAAACTAGGCTAGTCATCAAAAACACAGAAATGAAAGACTACACATACAAAGTCTGTCTAATCTGTCTATTTGATGACTAGTCTAGTTTTGGGCTATTCCTAGATGTCTATAAGATTTTGACTGACAGCCCAAATTTAGGTTTGTTTTAGCCAGGCTGTCTATGTTTAGATGTCTTTTAGACGTCTATTAAACAATTTTTTTTTTTTTTTTTTGCTGGGATTGGAGGAAGATTGTCAAATAGATGCCCTTAAGCAGGGGTGCCCAAACTCAGTCTTGGAGGACCAGTGTCCTGCATAGTTTACCTTCAACACACCTGCCTGGAAGTTTCTAGTATACTTATAAAGAGCTTGGTTTGCTGATTCAGGTGTATATCATTTGTGGTTGGAACTAAACAGGACAACAGCCCTCAAGGACCGAGTTTGGGCACCCCTGCCCTAAATAATTAAAAACCCCACCCTAAAGGCATTTCATGTGACCAAAAGTGAAGAGGGGAAGGGATGGTTATAGCATTTGATGAAAGATTAAAGATTTCGAGGGCAAAATTGACTTCATGCGGATTTTAAAGATTGTTTGGAATAATTCCACTTTAAGCACATGACTGTTTTAGCCTGTTGTTCATACACAAACACACAACTTAAAGCAGGGGTGCCCAAACTTAATCCTGGAGGGCTGGTGTCCTGCATAGTTAAGCTCCAACATCCTTCAACACACCTGCCTGGAAGTTTTTAGTATACCTAGAAAGAGCTTGAATAGCTGGTTCAAGTGTCTAATTTGGGCTGGAATAAAACTCTGCAGGACAACCACCCTCCAGGACTGTGTTTTGGCACCCCTGCCCTAAAGAATTGATAAGTCCACCCTAAAGGCATTTCCTGTGACCAGAAGTGAAGATGGGGAGGAAAGGTTATGCTACTGTAGAGTTCTTTAGTTATATCGTTTTAGTCGTTTGATGTGCAGTGACGCAATCAAATATTTCGCTGAACAGATCAGCCACTTTTGACACTTATAAACAATCATAAAGTCCTCGTTCTGCAGGAATTAGGAGATTTGCTGAAGCTGCAGCTGTCGTGCAGTAAGGGGTTTGCGTCTTTGATAATCTACGACAGTTTGCATTTATTAAACAGTAAGAATGATTAATAAACACATATGAAACAGTCCCTTAAAATTCACGTTTCGTCCTCAGTTTTGGGCTTTGCACTCACACTACAAGCGTACCGCACCAAAGCCCAAGTGAACCTCTGGCACACCTCTTCCAACCAGGCCAGGGCCAACCAAGTGAACCACGCCTGAGCTCGATTCAGAGCACTCACACTTCTTAAACAATCTAGGAAACGGGCCTGGAGAAGGTTCGGATAGAATAGTGTGAGTGCGCCCTAATTGGGGTTGGAACTAAACTCTGCAGGACAACGGCCCTCCAGGACAGTTTGAGCACACCTGCCCTAAAGGATTGAAAACCCCACCCCTAAAGGATTGATAACGGCATTTCATGTGACCAGAAGTGAGGAGGAGCAGGAAAGGTTATGGTATTTGATGAAAGATAAAATATTACTAGGCAAATTAGATTTCATGCCGACTTTAAAGCTTGTTTGGAAAAGTTTTACTTTTAGTGCACGACTGTTTTAGCCTGTTGTTCATTCCCATACCCACCACAAACTCGGTCCTGGAGGGCCGGTGTCCAGCAAATTTTAGTTCGAACCCCAACCAGACACACCTGGGCTAGCTAATCCAGCTTTTACTAGGCTTACTAGAAACTTTCGTGCAGGAGTTTTGAGTCATGTAGGAGCTATAATCTGCAGGACACCAGCCCTCAGGACCAAGTTTGGGCACCCCTAACTTAAAGACATAGTTGTCAAAAACTGAAAACTCTGTCATCATTTACTAACCCTTCACTTGTTAAAAAACGGTTTGAATGTCTTTCTCCTGTTGGAGAAAACATTTTAAAGAAGAATGTTGAAAACCTGTAATCATTGCCATAGCATTTGTTTGGTTAGCAGGTTTTCAGCTGTCTTCAAAATATCTTCTTTAGTGTTTAACAGAAAAAGGACGTAGGGTAAATAGAGAGGAACTCTTTTTTTTTTGGTGAACTATCATCAAGCGAAGTGAAGGCTGTGCGATTACTGGCACAATACTGCATGTAGAGAATTGTGTAGAGAATTCCTTGCACCTTAACAAACACAAAAGGGAAAGGTGAAAGAGATGTGGTGGAAAAGGGAAAAATTCAATTTTAAGGACCGGAAAAAAAAAGTGATGATAGAAAAGATGAAGGTGTCAGAGTGCAATAAGGCACTTGAAGATGAGGAAGGATGCAATAGAAGGGTAAAACCATTTAAGAGAATAGCAAAGACCTTGTCACATTCGAGAGCTTTCATCTGATAGAGGGGAGACATAAACAATTACCCCGGGCCAAGGTAACATTACTACCCATCTCACAGCAGGCAGAAAACTGGATGAATATATTCTTCTCTCTTTCTCTCAGCTGTCGGTGAACAGCGAGCGCAGGCTGGCGCACAGGCAAAGAAAGAGAGCCCTGAAAGCCAGTCTCACCCTAGGAGTGCTGCTGGGACTATTCTTCAGTGCCTGGCTTCCCTTTTTTATCACCAACATGGCACAGGTCAGTCCACAAAACACACTAAATAGCCGTATTCACTTTTATCAGGAATTTAATTTTCTTACTTGGAGTTTTTGTCTTGATTCTTGTCCAAATATCTAAAAGAAGCATTTACTTGACAAGTTAGAATGGTGTTTTCAGAAATATTAAATCAAAATTAAGTTACAGATAAGCAAAATAATCTGCCAATGGCGTAAAGCAAAATTAACAACACAGGCTCATTCTGAAAACGTAGTCCCATGGATGTTACTGAAAACTGTGACTTATGTAGCCGAAAGTATGTATGACTGCATTGAATTTTTGAATAGAACGCTACGTGGCAGTATGACGCCGTTCATTTTCGCGCTTACCGGCTGACCACTTACCTCCGTCTGGAGGGCTTTCCCGCTGCAACCAGTTTGTCCAGTTAGCTCGTCGTGTACGCCGACGGACTTGAGATGCAGAGTAACGCTGACAACGATGATCGGGTTCGAGTCTGGGGAAGAGCGGTTCCAGAAATCAAGACAAAAACAGAATCCAAAAAATAAAGTGAATAACAGGGTGAGAATGTGGTAAATTTCGAAAAAGTGGTAAAAATCAGACGAGGGCTTTTCTTTTTCAGGACGGCTTTTGTAAATTGTTGGTTGGGTTTAGGGAAGTAAGCGGGTGGGCGGGTCAATCGGTAAAATTGGTTGGGTTTAGGAAATAAGGAGGGTGGGTTAGTCGATTGGCCAGTCACAGTCAATCAATCAGTCAGACAGACGGTCGTTCGACAATGGCCTCTTGTGGATTTACGTGAGAACAGCATGGGTGTGAACAGCATTTGCAAGAGACATTTGAGATACGAAAAAGCGCACACAGCGGCCTCTTGTGGGTTCGCAAAAACAAAAACCGCAAAAATATGACTTCCGGGACGTATTTCGCAGTCTCCAGAAACGTCCACAGGACTACGTTTTCAGAATGAGCCTGGGTTGAAAAATAATCTGTCGAAGGGTTAAGCATAATAATCTGCCAATAAAGGGTAAGAAAAAATAATCTGCCAATGGGGTAAGAAAAAATAATCTGCCAATAGGTAAGCAAAATAATCTGCCAATAGGGTAAAGAAAATAATCGTATTGTAGGTTTAATATAGGGCTGTGTGATATGGGCAAAAGAAACCCATCATGATTTTCTTGAACAATATTGCGATTTCGATTTTAATAACGATTTTGTCACAGACCGACCGAATCTGTGTTTACAGTGTGAATCTGAAATATATTTCAAAAGAAAAACAATTAGATCTTTATCGAAGACCTGTAACATGTCTCTAAAACAATAAAAATCACCAATTAAAACTGTTAATTAGAACAGAACAATTAGAACAGATCTATGGCAAAACAAATGTGTGTATGTGAGTGAGCGGGCCATCAAACTCAAATAAGGCTTGATTTTTTGATTCAAATCTCTTTTCAAACAAACTTTAAATTGAACTTTTCAGAATGCTGCACAGTAAATCACATAACAAGAACCCAAACACCCAGTGCTTTTTAATTCTCTTCATACATAAAAGTTGCACAGGAGCTGCCACAATGTTTTGTTAGATTGTAATTCTCAGAGAAAACGGTTGAGGGTCACTGAGCTACGACAAAGGAGCAACCACAAATCGAGTTGAAGATGCTGAAGGAAGCAACGTGCTCCAGCTTTCCACACACTTTTAGACGCAATATATGACTGACTTACAAATGACCTGGTTCTGCCATACATCAGCCTTCTTATCCAAATACATCAGCCTGTATCCAAAGTAAGTTAATCCTAAACCACAGATGTTGACTTTTTTGGCACCTAGTCCTCCTGTGCTGAACTCATCATCCTTACGCAGGCTATTCAGTATCCTGTTCTAGCGCTCTGTTCAGGCATGCTGCATTATGATTGGTTCAAATCCCATACTGCGGGAAAATCGTGCTGTAAGCCGATTTAGAAATCGCACATGTCTAAAACACGATTTCTATACGATTTAAATTGATCACACAGCCCTAGTTTAAAATAAGAATATTTTACTTACCCCAATGGCAGATAACTGATCTCATTTTTAAGGAGGGAAAAAAATCCATAATTTTTGACTCATTGCTGAAAACAAAACAGTATTTTATACTCGTCTTGAAAATTGATTTAAGAATTTTTAAATAATTGGACAAGAAACACAAACTCTTAAGTAAAAAACGCCTTTTTTAGCAATGACTCAACCAAGATCAAGATAAACCTTGGCCTCAACAAGCATGCAACAAAAAAAGATGCCGAACTTAATTTCAGTACCACAACTTGACAACAACAGAAGCTTCTCATTTAATTCAGTAATGATTCCTTGTCCTGCTCTCAAGCTTTCAATGATCCCGTCCCCCATCTGTGTCCCTCACTTTGCTCAGATTTCAAGCTTCTGGGCAAGCCTGTCTCTAGCCCTCCTTCACACACAATATGGTGTGTGAATAGCACTCCATCTCCGTCTCCTACTCTCACTTTCTATATTCGCGGTCTCCCATGAACTAGACATCTTTGACCTTTTCCACCTCTCCGCTACTGAGTCTCGATATTGACGTTGTGATCTAAGACCTTTTTTTCTGTGCATTCAGGCGGTGTGCGAGTGTGTACCACCCTCCTTCTTCGACGCCATCACCTGGTTGGGCTACTGTAACAGCACCATGAACCCAATTATTTACCCGATGTTCATGAGGGATTTCAAGAGGGCTTTGGCAAGGCTTCTACCCTGCTGCTCTTCATCTCAAGCACCACGTAGGCCATCGCTGCCTCTTTCTCTTTCTCTACGCAACTCAGGGGAGCCACAACTACCCAGCGAACCCCCCTCGCTCGTGTCTGATCCGCCTCAACTACCTGCGACGGCAACAGATGCAGTTAACCTTCTGGATGCAGAACACGCTGGGATCGACCTGCCGCTGTTGTTACCCAACCAGGTCGATACTTTAGATGATTGATACGTGGATTGAAACCACAAACACTGTGGACGGAAAGATGTGTGACTTTTGTTATTATCAGGGTTCCTGATCAGGTCATGGAATTTCTGGAATACGATGTAATTTTTAGAAGGTCTATTCCAGACATTCCAGATGTTTCTGTCCTAAATCAGGGATTATCAGGGATTTTTGTCTGTCATGTAAAACATTAACTAACATTGATCAAGATTGCGATCTAAGGGGGCCATTCACATATCATGTCTTTCGCGCATACAAGTTTGTTATTTCTAATGGAGGCTAACTTTTCAGATTGCCGCAAGTGCACTGTGAGTCATGTGACTAGAAATAACCAATCAGCTTCCCACTTTTTGAATAGAATATAAAGTTTTAAGTAATGTTCATTCATCCATTATCCTTCGGCTTAAGGCTGATTTATACTTCTACGTCAAGCGCATTATTATTGACATCTCATAGATGTTGATCTACCTTTATCATTGCACACACTTTGTATCATCTTATTTAACAAGTTTAAGAGTCTATTTAACACTTATGTTTATTTTACTAAAAAGAGATCAGATATTTTATTTAAATATTTTTCCTTTTGACTATTAAAACCATTTATCTTAGTAATGTTGGTTAATTAAAATAAAGTGGCTAAATAAAATCCTAATATTCCTAAATGTATTGTTAAAAATATTTAATAATTACAGATACCGAATGATATGAAACATGATATTGTGATCATTTTTTTTGCAATATCGCCCAGCCCTATGATGCACCTGGTGCTTATAGACGTGATGTGTGAAAGGCCTCTAAATATGCTGATTTGGCAGCAATTTTTTTCAAATTACATCAATATTTGCAGGATTTCTTGAGTTATTTTACTGTGAAAATAAACACAAAGTTACACATCTTAGTTCTTGAAGACTTTTTTGACCTGGAGAAACATTGGTCTGTTGAGTATGAGTATGCTGAGAGAAACAAAGAGAGAAAGTATTTATCATATAAAGCCTTACTCCATCATATTTGCAACATGACTCTTAAGTAATGAAAATAAACGGTTAAAATCTTAATATAATATAGTAATCGTAATATAATCTTAATATAAAACAATGCAGATTGTGTGGAAGAAATCTGAACAGTGCCCTTGATGGCCAAAGGATATAAGCTGCAATTAAAATATAATAATAATGTTATTGATTGCAGAATCATTGAAATTCACTGTTTTATTAATTGAAAGTGAGGCTTAAAGTCATGGAATTTGACATTTGGTTTAAAGTGAGAACCTTGTATTCTTAGATTATGAAAAAAATGTGTTAAAATCTATAGGATGAGTGTTAATGGGATAATAATGGCCAAACTGGAAGGCTGCATCGCTCCTTAAGGCAGATCACGGAGATTGTACATCTAGAACAGATTCAACACGCATCCCATTCATTACCATAACAACCAAAACAACAGATGGATAAAGCAGACGAGAGGGAAAGAAATCGCACTAATACCTCACACAATGTCAAGTGGGTTGTCTGTGGAGCTGTAATTCACATCTTAATTAAACAACAAGCCACTTCTAATGAAAGGGGGCAAATGGTACACACAAAAATACTAACAGTGTTCACACAGCAGTTTATGTTTTGCAGTGCTATTCAATCTAAATTAGATGATATCCAGTTGTAACTTTAAGGGTAAGTTCACCCAAATGTTTTAATGGTGTTATTCATTACCATTTGTTCCAAACCCTTGAGAGCTTTGTTTTGTCTTCAGAATACAAATAAATATATTTTAGGAGAAATCTGAGAGCTCCCTCATCCTCCATATGCTTCGAGGTTCAGAGAGGTACTAAAAAGCATCCTCAAAACACACCATATGCCTTCAGTCGTTCAATTAAAATATTATTAAGCTACAGAGAATACCTATGAGCACACACAAAACTAAAAATATCGACTGAACACCGCAAGGTTGGTACGACTGTCGTTCGCTTAGAGCGCCAGTTACGCTTGCGCCACTACTACTAAGATACTAATGCAAGGTGTTATTCACTTAAATTGGCCAACCAATTTGATTGCGCAATTGTTCCGCTACCTCTTCCTCCTCTAGTAACATGCCGGATCCGTCACCCCGATCTGTTCCGGGACCTTGCAATTTACAAATTAAGCACTGTGCACAATATATTGTTTCAGCATCGATACCGCAATGTGCAAATCTGAAATAGTCACATTGCAGGATCGGCAATGTTGAGTCGAGATTATAATTAACCAGAATGCAAAACATATGCAAAGTTTAACGCAATTTTTTAAGGCCTGTGACTATGTAAAATTTATAGCAAATTTAAACCATTAGGGCACAACAAATGATCATGATCATAATTTTATTTTATTTATTTATTCATACTATGAAGATATAGTAGTCCAGTGTTTCTCAACCACGTTCCTTGAGGACCACCAACACTACATGTTTTGGATGTCTCGTATGTCTTTCACATCTATTACAGGTCTTTCAGTCTCAGCTAATGAGCTGATGATCTGAATCAGGTGTGCTTGGTTAAAAAAAAATAGGGCTGCGCCTGAAATCGCAGACTACTCAGTAGGTACTGCATTTGAATTTAAATGTACTACTCGGCCGTTAAAAAAGTACGTTCTATACATTATGAATGTCTGTAGTATGAATGGAACTCGGACATACTACGGTACATTCGCCAGTTTGTCCTTCATGAACACTCTCACGTGGCATCATGGGATAACGTAGCGTTCATCCGAGCGACTTTAAAATCTCGCCGGAAGTAGAAGGTCATCCGGGTACTTCTGGCATACTGTTTTTCAAACTTATGAATTCAGACATAAAAAGTTTTTAGCGTACAACATAGTATGGAAGTATGCAATTTTGGGCGCAGTTATGGAAAATGTGCAGAGCTGGTGGTTCACTGCATTATTCAACATTTGAGGATGTTTTTAAATTCATTTATTATTTTTTCCGCCACAGCGGAATGAACTGCCAACTATTCCAGCAAATGTTTTACGCAGTGGATGCCCTTCCAGCTGCAATCCAGTACTTGGAAACATGTATACACACTCATTCACACAAACTCATACACTACAACCACCAATTTAGTTTATTCAGTTCACTATACCACATGTCTTTGGAATGTGGGGGAAACTGGAGCACCCAAAGGAAACCCACGCAAACACGGGGAGAACATGCAAACTCCACATAGAAATGCCAACTGGCCCAGCCGGGACTCGAACCAGCAGCCTTCTTGCTGTGAGGCAACAGTGCTAACCACTGAGCCACCGTACCATCTGTTTTTCCTTTTGACATACAGTAAGATTACTTTGCTCACCCCACTGGCAGATTAATTTGATTGTTTTAAGGAAAAACTCACTTCATTTTAAGAATTTTGAGACATATTTGGACAAGAAATAAGTCACAAAAATATCTAAGTAAGAAAAGCATTTACTTTGCAGTGTACCATTTCCTGTTAATTGTCTATTTTCAATACTCAAACTCTGTTTATATGATTCTGGCTCAATCCTATGTCCGACCATAACCTTAATAGCAGCAAATTCAACTCTCAGGAGTTTCACTGAAATTATTTACCATCCAGATCAACATTCTGAGAGTGAATTATGGAAATAAGGCATAATGTTTTACATTTTTTTTTTTTATCTTGGCTCAGAAATGGCAGGTTTACCATTGCCTAATTGATCTCGTGCTTCAGTTGTGTTTGCACATTCAGTAGTCCAGTGTGTGTCCTCCCAGTCCCAAGACTTCTGCTCAAACTCTGAGTCACTTTCATCTTCTCTGCCTGTTTGCTTCTGTTCCTGAGATAATTCGACATGATCTTCACCTCTGGGATCACAAGGCGAATGTGTATTCCTCCCTTCGGAGGGTTCAAGGATGCCATCGGATTCACTAATGGAGTCGAGTAAATCGGATATATCAGGAATATCCCAGCCATTCTCAGAGTCCTGCCTCTCGCACCGCACTTCGCTCTGCTTTTGGTTTTCATCAGCATTTTCATCAGTAGTGTCTGAGAGATCTCTGATGTTTAGAGATGGTGTTATTTTACCTTCACTCTGACCGGCTGATTCTGGAGTGTCTGCTTTTTCCTGAGATACATGAACCAGCTGTAGTTTACCACTCATTGCTCCAGTTTCTTCCCTGGTAGGAACCCCCACTGCTACGAGGATGGTGTCCATCTGACGCATATAATCCAGGTGTCCTTTTACCTGTGAGGTGGATAGAAAACATACTCAGTATTCATAAAAATACTTTTAACGGTTTATTAATAATTCTTTTTCAGTGCTTGCAATGTGTTAATATATTCAGGCATGCACATAAGTGGTTCACACAAGAACATGCATGACTTAAATAAGAAATGCGAAGGGTTCAGACTAATCTTTTCCAAACTGGGGGCAGATTTTAATGTCTACTCACAGTTTTAGATTAACAAAATATTATACTAAAATTATAATATAATATAATATAATATAATATAATATAATATAATATAATATAATATAATATAATATAATATAATATAATTATAATATAGATTCATTTATTCATTTTCCTTCGGCTTAGTCCCTTATTTATCAGGGGTCACCCCAGCAGAATACTGCCAATTATTCTGGCGTATGTTTTACACAGTGGATTCCCTTCCAGCTGCAACCCAGTACTGGGAAACACCCATACACACTCATTCACACACACTCATACACTACAGACAATTTTAATTCTTTAATATTAAATTCTTCAATATTTTCTTTCCAATTTCTGTTTAAAGGGGTGGTCCACTGCGATATCATATTTGAAACTTTTGTTGATGTGTAATGTAGCTGCGTGAACATAAACTAAATCTCTGAATGTAAGACGCTAAAAGTTCAATGCAAAGAGAAACATTGGGTTTTACATAGTTACAGATCTTAGCAAAGCCTACAGCGAACAAATTTGGGGACTACAAAAAATACATCTGGGCTAGTGAGATCATAAGAGCTTCCGATTACATGCATTCACCTCTCGCACACACCCTGTGCAGTGAAGGGGCATGGCCAGAGGTGCTGTACTGTTAAAGCAGAGAAAGCTAAAATGCCGACCGAACGCTGCTATTTCCACAGAGCTTCTTTTGTTTCTGTATTTGGGCTTCCAAAAGACACGACACAAAGAGAGAAGTGCTCACAGTTTTATTTTAATTCTGTTCCAAAGAAATTATTTTTTTTAAAAAGAAGATGTAGCGCTAGCATTTGACAAACGAGAACTTCCAGAATCTCTCCCAGTTCAGTGCTGGACTCCATTAAAACTCCTCCAATTGTCGAAGCTGTGGACTTTGAGGAAAAACCTGTAAGCGTATTTATTTGTTCAAATTGATCAACTACAGGCACAGTTTTTAGCATTAACAGTATGTTGTGGCAAGGACTTAAACAAGGATGTAAACAATGGGAAATCCTGTTTGCTGTGTGCTAGAGATCTGCACGAGACTAAATTTTAAATCCCAATCCTGCTCCCGCCTGGTTTTAGCCCGAATCCGACCGCTCCCACTTTCAATTTGTTCATTTGTTGTTCCGCTGCCCGACCCGCCACGCCCGTTCCCACAAAACCGAAAACCACCCAGCTACAGAGTCCAGACACCCTATAGGTTGTCTGTATAAACTGACACACACACACACACACACAGCAACAAACAAGCTAAACGCAGCATCTCGCTGTCTCATTCACACACATACATATGCATACTCGATCGCTCAGGAGTCAGGAGCGATATTGTTAGACTGCCCGCCTGACAGAAATGTCATGCTCCCTTGTAAAAGTACAATGAAATCGAAATTCAGAACCTATAATCGACCTTGTGTAAAGTCATATGACCCTACTCTGTTAAGGCTACTTTATACTTCTGTATTTAACGTCTGCAGTTGCATA